AAAATATTATTTGTCTCTAAATTCTTATTTCAAGAATGAACAGAAAGAGAAAATATAACGTTTGTAGCCAGGCACTGTGGCTCATGTCTGTAATCCCAGCACTTTAGGAGGCTGAGGCAGGAGGATTGCTTGAGTCTAGGAATTTGAGAGCAGCCTAGGCAATAGCAAGACCCTACGTCTATAAAAAATAAAAATTAGCCAGGTGGTGGTACAAGCCTATAGTCCCAGCTACTTGGGAGGCTGAGGCAGGAGGATCACTTGAGCCCAGGAATTTGAGGTTGCAGTGAGCTATGATTACACCACTACACTCTAGCTCAGGCAACAGAGTGAGATCCTGTCTCAAAAAAACAGTATGAGAGTAAATACTTTTCTGTTTTTGGGGGGTTGGTTACTAACTTTTTATGTCGATTTCTAAGCCTGGTTACAACCCAAATATACTGCAAATTTCATCACAAAAGGAATATACAGACTGTATATCAAGATAAATGACACCATTTCACTTGACCCTTATCCAGTAGGAATGAAAACAAAAGCATTCTGGAAACATCTGTCATTTAAATGATATCACTAAATCTTCCTCTAGGACTTAGTAGTATCATTGAAATGACATATATCTCCAGATGTTCCATCTATTTAAATATTTTCTATTTCTGAACTTTTTAAAATGAAAATGTTCTACTTGCCAAACCCTGAATTGGATTGTGAGATAGAAAAATGAGGTGTTTCTCCAACATTAGCCAATTTAATTCATTTGCAATCAAAATAAAACTATTTCCAGAGGTCAAAGACTAATTAATTTAAATCCCATGAGCATTTTAAAGTATATTCTCTAGACACCTATAGAAATGACACATAATGGTACATTTTGGAAATAAAATTACATTAGTAGAAGAAAAGGCTTTTACCCATGTCCATTATAATATTTTGTTTTAATTAATTTTAATCTGAATTAAAAGTTTAATCCCATAAGATTCTAAAGTAATCATGGTATCAGAAAAAAAAAATCCATTAAAAGGCATTTTCAATGCATTATGCTTGTTCCAAAGGTAGGGCTGGAAGGGAGCAGAGTAGCCTAATCATTCAATATATGTTTAGTCCTGAATAACACTTCTATGCATTTATTTAGCTCGAGTTTCTAATTAAAATGACCAAGCTGTTCTCCATGCCCCCCACCCAACAGTCATCCTCAATTCCTGCCCCTTTCCAGTTGTCCTCCTAAAACAACAGAAAGAGTGGGATGTCAGGCAACATGGGTGTGGGAGGTCACAAAATGCTGTGGTGAGTCTTCTAGGCTTTGCAAGGCTGAGCCTCCCGATCCTAGGGCTTTGCCCCTGCCCCTTGGGCTTGCTGTCCACTTCCCCACCAGGGTGCTGTGATTCCCAAGGGTTTTGGTCTGTTACTGCATAGTTACCCAAAGGGGTTGCCTTTCTCTGCCAATGTCTCCTAAATCTATACAACCCCCAAAGCAGCTGCTTTAGCTGTCTGTTAGATATCAAAGTACATTTTCAAGGCTGGGCCAAGTACACTTGAAATTTTTCTTTAATTCAATCAACAAATATTTATGAAACTGTGCCAAGCAGTATGCTAGTCAATGAGAACAAAAAGAAGAAAAGATGAAGAGAACTTAGTATCTTTGAGGGCCTCACAACCTTGTGAGAGAGAAATGCAAACAAAGAATCAGTGCAAGGCAGTCAGTGTTCTATTAGAGGCATAGACAAGGTACCATAGGCAGAACAGAGAAGGAAATGCTTCACTTCATCAGGGGTGGGCAGAGAAGACATTACACTGGAGAGGACTTTAAAGAAAGGAACAGAAACAAGCTGTCCCAGAAAGGAGAGGGGTGCAAGTTCCACAGGCTGAGCACCATGGCAAGGGCCAGACAATAGAAAGTCTGGAATACCATCCTTGGGAATTCAGATTTTGTCCTGATGCCAACAGGAAGCCACCAAAGGCCTCTTAACAAGTGAGAGAGAGGGGATTAGTGGGGGTAATCGACTACCTTGCTCTATTCCCCCCACCCATAGCACTTAGTACCTTTTACTGCTCTATATAATTATTACGTTTACTGTTGGTCTCTCTTCCCAAGAATGTGAGTTCCATAAGGATGGAGATCTTTGGCTGTCTTGTTCACGGACATGTTCTAAGCTAGAACAGTGCCAAGCACGCAGGTAACGTGGATAAATATTTTATGGGTTGATCAAATGAATGAATGGTATGGTCAGAACACAGCTTCAGAATGATCATTCCAGTGACTGTTTTGATGAGTACGTTGGAGATAGGGAGACCAGTTAAGAGGCTACTGAGCCCAGTCAGAAGCCAGGAGGGCCTGAGCTTAGACAGTAGGACCAGAGGCAGAGAGAACTGCTGGAAGGTAACAGCGTAGGTGAGAATGCCTGAAGTCAGTCAAAGCAGTGAGAATGTAGTGGAGGGCCCTGGCTGGAGGTGTAGTGAGGAAGGGAGGAGAGAGGGGACCCTGGTGAATGCCAGAGGCTGGCTTACCTCTGTAAAAGCTACCGACTCTCCTCGGAACAGGATCATTGTACAGATGTCTATTTTCTTTGGGGGCTGTGCCATCATCAGAGTGTGGGTCATGATACACTCCACCCTGAGGCAGGAAACAAGTTTAGAAAAGTTAAAACACAGATTGATGACAATGTCACCTATGAAATTAGAACAGTGCCTAATCAGTCTATAATTTACTTAATGATCTTTTGAAAAGAAAACTCAGGATTATGTCATGAGAAAAACTACTTACTTTATAAACCAGTTCAACTTATTTGTGGGAGATTGGGTATGAACACATTTTAAAAGCTAGGCTATAATGATGTTGAATGAACAATCTTTACAGACACATCTTATTGTAAGACGTAGCAACTCTGAAGAATTCAGACCTCAGACTTCTGACGAGAGTGGAAAGAAGAGGTGCCTTCTCTGGAGGACTCTTTGACAGATGATCTCGCCACGGTCATCTCTGGAGGGAGTTGTTCTCCAGGCTGGAAATCAAATTTACAAGAATTTATAAGAGCATCCCATTCCTAGGGATGAAAATCATGGTCTTTATTTGGTATAACTAGGACTGCAACCAGCTAAAATAAAAAATGTTAGTTGGCTAAAATACAAATTATCCCATAAAAGAGTGAATCATCTGATGAATGTAAAATAAGTCAAATTTCACACAGATGGAAAGTGAAATTCTCATTAAAGTTAAGGCAAGCAGGGAATAAAGTAGTCTGAAAATAGTTTAATTAATTATTAAAAACAAAAAAAATTACCTCTCTAATACCTAGACAGTCATTGTCATTGTTCTGAGCAGCACTCTGATTAGGGATTCTATTAGTTAATCCAAAATTTCTCTAGCAGATTTTAGGCTGAGTTCTCCAAAAAGAACTGTATGGATCCAAAATTATTTTTCATGAAGGACTTACATGGCAGGTTCAGATGAAAACAAATGATTTTTGAATATATCAAGGAATAGAATAAGTCCTCTTAATAATTTTTGTCTTCAAATTCCCTAACTACTATAGTTTATGTGCCTAAATTCTCATCTTAATATTTTAGGATAATAGCAGTTCAGTTTATGTATTTTCTTAGGCATAATCAAGATGGTGCTCATCTCCAGAGATGCTACCACTACTACCTATCTCTAAGGAAGTGAGTCACAAGCTAAGAACAGCACTCGGTCCACAATGGTGTTCGCTGAGGGGGAAAAATGTAGCATTTTCTACCCTCAGAAAAAAAGACTAAGGAACAAAATTACCAAATCAATTAGGAGTTAGCTGCATTGCATATCTGTATATTATGCACAGAAAGAGTATTACTCCAAGTCTATGTGATATATAAAAAAAATTTTATTTAAAATTTAAAGTATGATTCTCTCTTTCACCCCCTCATTCCCCAAATGTACTCTGAGGAAAGAGTCTGGGCAGGAATTCATCCAATGTAGCATTTCTTCTTTCTATCTGATGACAAGATCTCATTTGACTTTAACCACCTGTATCACTTACAAAGACCTCTAGAAAAGTATTTTAAGAAAATAAACTATTAATATCTAATCTAAACTCAGTAAGAATCCCCGTGGCTTTTGAAGGTGGCCACAATACTTTGCATGAGAGTGATTTCCAAGATTCACTCACAGCTTTAGTTACTTTTCAAGCCTTCTGCCACCTTTGTGCCTTTAAACTTGTACTTTCTGGCAGCTCGGCACTGTAACTTCCTGAACTGGACTTCAAATTCAGTAACAGTCTGATCTGTGTTTAGCCCACAATAATTGTTTGTAATTTGTTTATGACCACTGTGTTCATAAAAATCCTTTTTCGGGAATTCTCAGAGAGCCATCATTCATCCTTTTTCTAAGTTAAACAGCTTGTTGTTTTTCTCACTTCTCTGTTGTACACTATGTGTAATGCTAGCACACTTTACCTGGTTTTGATCTCCATCTTCCACCTAAGGGCAGCTGCCAGGCTCTAGGCTCTGGAGGTTCTCTTCTTTCTACAGTGACTCCTCAGGGGCTCCTCTGCCCATCCCTACGACTCTGCTTATGGCCTTTGCAAATGTGCACCTCCCACCCTCTCCTTTCCCCTGGATGCTAGACTGTCTCTTCAGCCTCTTAGAGCATCCCTCTGCTTAGAGGCCCAAGGTCACTTCAAACTCAACATGTCAGCAAGATACAGTGGAAAGAGGCTAGCCCTGGGACCTGGAGATTATCTCATAATCCCAGCCCCGCCCTGAACTAGTTGGGTCAACTTGGGGTGACTAACCCAACCTGAGCCTGAGCATGCCCACCTGTGACATGAAAGGTTGAATTAGGTGACTTCAAAAACCCTTTCTTCTATTCCAAAAAGGAGCTCCTAGAAAAGAAACCTTGAAGTCTTCCCTTTTCCTATATTCAGTCCTTCAATTCACAAGTTCTGTTGTTTCTACTTCTAAGAAGGCTTTAAGATCCACTGTTTTCTCACTGGCACTGACTTAATCCCAAACATACTCTCCTCACCTCAGTCTTGGATTACGGCAAAAGCCACTCCAAGTCTTGCATTTTTCACTCCAGCAACGTGGAACAAGTTGCAATCCACAAAACACACCATGCCATTTAATGTCTGTCTCTACTACCTTCCTTCTTTTTCCAATGCTCTTTTCTTCCCTCTCTTCAAGCCTCTTTCCTGATGTCGTGGTCACATTTCCCACAACCCTCTTCGAAGTCTCTGCTCAGTCTCTCCTCTGTGAGCCTCCCACAACCCCCCACCTGGACTGTCCCATTCCTCTCCCCTCTTTGGCACACAGGTATGCTTCTAGCATAGCATCTGGAATGCGACCTCACGGTATCAGAACAACCCTATTGGTTGGCAAGTGTCCCCCACCAGCCCACAAACTCAAGAGGACAGGGACCCTATTGTTTTCATCTTTCTAACTAGAGTCTCTATGGTACCCAGCTCAGGACAGGCCTGAACACATCTTAACTCTTCAGCCATTCAAAGCTTGTCTATACATCTTAGCCCAGACAGAGCAAGACTTCAGCTGCCCCTAAAGCCATTTCTACCTGCTCCTGCTCACAATGATCTCTCCCTATTCTCAACTCCTATTTATAGCCAGTGCCATATTAATCTAGGACTTAATTATTTCATTGTTATCATGTATAATTTAACCCTCCCTGACAGAAGATAAGTTTCTTAAGGGCAAGAACCTTCTCAGACTCTTCTGAGTACCTGAGAACACGCAGCATAGATAAGGTGCTCAGTGTCTAAATAATAGCCCCTACCATCACAGAAGCAGCAGCGATAACTAAAATTTGCTAGACACTTACTTTGTGCCAAGCACTGGGTACAGGGCTTTATACATGAAATCATTATATTAAAAATGTATTGTTGTAAGAATGCTACATCTTTTAAGCAGGTTAGTATTGGTTCTAGACCCTGACGATCAACGAGATGGAAGCATCATGCTAAAAATACTGCCTTGAGATTTAAAAATAATCCAAAAGACTGAAAATTAACATTTATCCTGGCCTGAAGTTAAATTTATCTATAGTTCTGGATAAATTAAGAACTCTTAAATTCAGTTAAGATATTGAGTAAGGTATTAGCAAAAAGTTTTGATTTTAGCAAATGTGGTTTGGAGAGATTAGAGAAAATGCCCATGAATTCACACTGAACTTTGAGAAAACTAAAAACTAGCCCATATAACTGATGAATTCTGTAATAAATCAAAATGGGATTCTCTCAACAAAATATGCTAGACAGGAACATTTAAGAAAGGAAACATTACCAAAACCAAACTCTGATTACTCAATAGTTGTTCTAAATAATTTTTTTAAATCAGAGATTAGTTCAAGTATTGCTTCCCTAAATTCATCCTATCAGGAAAAGCACAACCTCCCGCAGTAGGGAAAACTGCAGACTGATCTTATTCACATCCCTTGTACCACCTTCCCCTAATGAGCCACCAGAACCGGACAAGGTGCTAAACTGTACCTGGGGTGATAAGAGTTGCAAGCTGTTGGCTCTGGCCGCCATCCCTTGCCCTGTGCTCAAGCTTCCATCCAAGCCTTTGGCTCTCACTTTGTCCCGGGTCACATACATGGAATGCCTATGAGGACGCTGCTGAGAGGAGAAGGGGCTGGTGTAGCCTAGCCCATAAGAAAAGGATTCATGAGGTGCAGATAGCGAATGAGAATGGCTGCTGTCCATGTGCTCAGGCAGCTTCAACTCCTCCATCGTTTTAGAATGCCTGGTTGTGGTTCGGCGTGAGTCCAGAGTACCCTCATTCCTGTTATTTCTCCCTGAAGGGCTGAGCAAAGTTCTCGTGTCGCTGTGCCTGGTAGGGGTTGGGCTGGTGGGAGAGTTCAAGTCCAAGCAGCTGGATGGGAAGTACCTACTGGTATTGGACTCTGCGATTTGGGCCCTGGCTTCGGAAAGGTTGCTCACAGACTTGGAGTCACTCAGTGCTCCATGGCTTTTGGCCTTGGTCCTGTAGGAGGGACTCCTAGAAGACTGGGGAATGGTGTCGATATAGCTATGCCTACTCTGCTTTTCACTGGGCTGTAGTGTCCCGGCTTTGCTCTGAGAGCTTTCCATAAATGAGTGTCGGTTCTGCTGAGATCTGCTGCTTGACTTGAGGTACTTCGTGCCTGGGCCTTCTGAAGGCTTTGGGTCAATATTAAAATCAAACTCTGTTTTTGACTTGGCTTCTTTTGGGCTGAGAAGGTGTGGTATGTTGTTGTTAGTGAGATCTTTGCTGGTAGGCCCAGGCTGAGTGCTTGCCTGGTAGGTTTTGGTATGCATTGGGCTAAGAGTAGCTCCAGCAAGGTTTCCATTTAGGAAGCTTTCATTGGCAGGGAGACCTTCATCAGCCCGGGGCAGGCCCACACTCAGATTCTGGATGTCCTTGCTGTTAGATCTGTGGTGAGATTGCAAAGCAGCACTTTTGCTGGCTTGGTTTCTACATTAAAAGAAAAGGAGTGTGTATCAGTTTCCCTCAATAGCAGACACATGAAAAGTATCATGTTAATAAGAACAGAACACATACTCAAAATACCATACCTTAAAGACTAAAAACATTCTCCCAAGAATGTGCCTACCAATAACAAGTAACCTATCAATAAGACAAAGTCACTCTGAAGCTAAGCACTGGCCTTGATCAAGTTATTCTGGCACCCTTAAATGCTCCACTAACTTGCTGTCAACACAGTTTCTAACTGACGATCTGCGAAAACATGCTTCCATTATGTTGGTACTCATATGAGTGTTTGTTATAGAATGCCTGCTAAGAAGAAGAGAGCTGAGCTATAGACAAATTCTTTATAACTCTTTTGTCTGCTTGAATGTCAGAAGACAATATTTAGACCTGAAGGTTACTGTGTTCCTTGAACTTCATTTTTATTTGTGAAACTCATAGCCTGCTTCAGAGATATATACTCATAGCACACACACAGACACCAATGTCTTTTTTGTCTTTACCCTGTATAGTCAAAAAATGAGAACTCTAGCAATTTACTCAATAAAAGAAAAACAAATATAAACTGTCCGGTGAGGTTTGTTAGAAAACATGATGATCAATGTTTATGTTTTGGACAAGTAGCAATTACTTGGGGCTCTTCAGATATCTCCTTGTACACTAAACAGTAATGTGCCACGAACTGTACAGATACCTCCATGTACACTAAACAAAAACCTTGTACTTATACTGGGTCACAGGGATCTGAAAGAGTTAATTTCTCTCTAAAACACACTATTCTCTTCTTCATTTCACATTTCATTATTCCAAACCAACTGAGGCCTTCTTTAGGAATTAAAACTTCATTTCCTACTTGATTTAAAATACAAAATATAAATCCAAAGGAAAGCCTTGTCCTCTATTTGAAAGCTGAAATTGACAACATAGCATGGTCAGTTTGTTCTACTGTAACTCTAGAAAGGACTAATTGTAGTTTGGGATAGGTTAGAATGCTTAAAAATGAATAATGATTTATACAATTCTCTTTTTACTATGCATTCAGAAAATTTTGCTGCAAATCTTGCTATTGCTAAAGATGGTTTGATTTGGGAGAGTTTTCTCGATCACATACTAATTGGAATAAAGTTCACTTTTTTTCCCCATGTAGAATGCTAATGGTGAAACTATGCCTTCCCATTTTCCCTGTGAGAATCCGAATGCTCTGGCATCAAATAAGGTAAGGGCCCTTTTTCTAGCCTATCTTTCAGATGGTAATCTCTACCAGAACTACCTGAGAGTGTCAAAAAATATCTGACATTAAGCAAGCCTATAACATTGTGGAAGGCCTCATTTCCTAAATGCACTCACTAATCTCTTCCAGTTAGGTCATCAGAATTGCAGCATTAAATTAAGGACACATATGAGCTAACTAAATAGCATATCCCAGACCTGGAAAGAAATTAGAAAGAAAAGTTAAGTTCCACTTTCTGTTAAATGATGTCAATGGAGTCTATCCTCATATCAGTAAAAGTCTCTGTATCCTAAAGGCATCAAGTTTTAAACCATTAGAGTTTGTCAACTTATATCTTGATAAATAAAATATCTCAGCAACTTTTCAAACCCAAACAATGACAGTCTCATCCACAAATATATCTAAGTGTGTTGGTCATCCTCCATTTGCCCAACCCCCAGTCCAGTCTCCATCCCTCTCTGCCCAGACCTGGGCCTCAGGAGCCCAGTTCTGCAGACTGCCTCACCCAGGCTCCCTAGCCGGCTAATTTCCGGTTGGGCTTAGCAGTGGAAGGCATCACAGGACAAGAGGAGAAAGAGGCTGGGGATGTCTTCCCTGCTCCTTCCTGGCATTGGCACCCTGACTTAGATTGTAGCTGTTTCCCTGCAGATGAGAGCTTCCATGGGGTGACTCCTCCTGCCCAGCTCCAGCTCTCCCTGGACTCTCGGGACCCCCATTTGCTCCCTTTTCCTCTTTAGGCTTAGAGATAGTAATGGCAGGGAGATAATACATGCAGGTGCTGGGAAACGTCCTAAGCTCACAACCAGAAAGGGACAGAAAACAGCAAAGACAGTTGCTAGAACTTTTGGAGCTCTTAGAAACACTGCTATTGATGTTGAGCACAAACCTACATGTGATCTTTGGAAGAACATATTCAGAGCAACGTAAGAGAGACAATTTCTAACATGAAAAGGGAGGCTATAAATTTAAGGTAGAAACATTTGTCAAAGCTTTAGGTTTTCCATAAATGTACAAAGAGTCTAAACTGCTATTCTTAGCATTTCTGTCTCAGGATTAATTGGAAGCCATTGAGATTTGCGCATAATTCCTACGTAGAAAGGGTGTCGTATTATCTTCAAACTGGAGCTCTGCCAAAGCACAACAATAAAAAACAGCTTTGAAAATTCCATAGATCTCTGACACACAACTGCAAGGAATCTGTGGTTAAACTGCCAACCACTTAAAAAAGTTTTATGTATAAACCCCCTTCTTAAATGGTTGCTGGATAGATAATGTACTTAGTTAAAAAAAGTTGTAAAAGCAAACGTCAAAGACACAAAGCTCCTTTTTGAGGGGGAAGGCTGGTGAAACAGGACTAGTGAGAGTGGCAGTGGGGGGCAGCTGAAGCACTGTCACAACATGTCCGAGGTGAGCAGAGCCTCAGGAGAGCCTGAAGGAGACAGGCAGGAGCTAAGTAATGCAAGAGTCTACTGCCTCTCCCACAGAGAAAAGAATCTGGAAGACAGGGTATGTGCCAGCGTGTGTGTCTCCAGGGACAAGGCAGGGGAGTGTGTACGTGGCAACAAATGTGATATGGTGTTGGGAAGTCTGAAGGAGCCACAGTTTGTGTTGAGATCCAAGCTAGAATTACTGTTCCTAACAAGAAGGGCTTCCATGGAATAAGTATGGACCATAGACAAGTGTGTCGAGAAAGCCCTCAGATGTATGTAAAATGAGGTAAAATCATTCCTAGAGAAACCATTCAGGGCTTTTTCTGTAATAAATTCAATACAATGTCAAGACCTGAAAATGAATTATTCCAGAGATTTTTATTTACTTATAATTTCTATTCACATCTACTTCAAAAGAGGACTTGGGAGGACTCCTCAAAGACCCATACAAATCTTATCTCCTCTGTACTCCCTGAAAACACCATCAACCACACACATTCTCCTTAATAGATCCGTAGGGAAGTTTCCCAAGGGGAGCCTCAGGTCCCCACTGGTTAACTCCTAGAACTGTCTTAAGTGAGTCACTAGAGGATAAATACACAGGCTCCCTTTCATGGCACAGGTTGTGCCACTTAACAGCACAAATCAAAAACTTATCAGTCTACTGAACTTTATGTCACTGGGATAATTTTTCTTTGTAAATGTAAACTAGAGGAGCTAAGTGACAATTAAGGTAGGAGGGAGACAAAAGCACCTGAACTGGAAGTGACCCCAAAGATGACACAGGAATAATCTGAATCTCCTAAATGCAAAGGAGCAACCAAATGATGAGTACGATTCCTTGACTTAGTATACTAGAACCCCATGGAAAGAAACAACGAAGCCAGCTGAAAATGGTCTATAAGATATGAGGGGAAACAATAACCGGAACCAGTCATTTTAAAGAACAGTAAGCAGCTCTAAAACACAATCATATTATCACGGTTAAGGAGAGCAAACACAGGATAAATGGTTATCACCAATTTATGGATGCTCTCCCAGACCCAAAAGTACCAGGTCTTTAGCTTTCAAAATTCTAATCTGTTAAAAATTGTTCTATATGGAAAGAACATTTGGGGGTGGGGGAGGGTAGAAAATTCATATTCAAAAAGCTTCATATTAAGAATTATTGCTTTCTATTTCTCTTCTAATAGCAGATAAGAGAAATTCTTTCCTATCTCACACAACCTAACAGATGACAAGATCTCCTCAGGAGATGAAGACAGGGAGATTGTGACTAGGATGCTGTCCTCCTATACACACAGCCAAGAGAATCCAGGAATATCAGGTCTGAAAGACAACCTGATTGTATGGTCCAATCCTGTGTTTGTGTATGTGTTCTTCAGAAAACAAGTTTTTTAAAGATTATGCTGAAAAATCATATTTAAAAAGCACCAATTTTAATTATATCTTTGCTATTTCCATGTTTTATGAAAAATTAATTTCTCAGCTCAACGATTAAAAAGACAAGAGCAACAAAAACACAAGACCCTTCTGTACAGCCAGACCTACTTGGTTCAGTTGCAAAGACTACCCTGGGTACCTTCCCACCCACCTGTGTTTGGTATCCTCTTCTCCCTCCAGGAAGCCCCTTGCCCTCCCCTATCTTTCTCCCTCTAGGCATCACCCCAGGGTCACATTTGCACAGACTCTTCTAGCTCTTGAAGCTGTAAACCCTCTTACATGCTAATCCAATGCTACCTTTCCCAGGGACTGCACAGGTTTCCATAATATACTTAGTGAAGAGAAAGTCTTTAAGACCCACACAACTACTTAATTGTAGTTCTGAATCATGCAATAAGCATAAGGAAGATATTTTTGAATAAAGAGGGCTTTCCTTCTTTTCTCTAATTGTATCATTTAAGCAGCCACCTCCTCCACCTACTTGTAAGACCAACACTGCATCTGCATTTCCTTAAAAGGGAATATTTACCTATTAGACAACGTGCTGCTTTCCACATGGTAAGGTTTTCTTTTTGCTGACCTTGAAGGGGAACGATCCAGAAGTCTCTGGGTTTGAAATGTAGGGTGATTCAAACACTGCTCCGTCAAGTATCTGTCAGCTGGGTCCAACTTCAGTAAATTCTTAGGAAATAAAGTTCAGGATTGGAAAGAACCTTACAAAGTCATACTTAAATTCTAATAAAAGCCTTATTTTTTTTCTTTAAAGAAGAAATACATGGTCATTGCCAAATATCTAGCAAACACAGTTCAGGAAAAAAAAAATCAAAACAACTATCTAAATCACCTATAATCTCACCGTTGTTGTCCCCTTGGTATATATCCTCCCAGCCCTTTTTTGAATATCATATCTACATATTTTCATTTATAAAATCTGGCTCATATTATACATACAAGTTTTGTATCCTACATTTTTCACTTACTAATCAAAACATTTTTATAACATAAACATTTTAAATATAGTTTAGTAAGTATATATTAATATGAAAGAATATATGACTATATATTCTTCATCTTTCTCTTGTTCCCCAGGTACCCATTTCCCCTCTGTGGAGGGGAGTCCAGGCTACCAGTTTCTTGTACATCCCTCCATAGGTGTTCTGTACATATCACTATCTGCTCTTTTTATTTTACCCATACAGTACCAGACACAGAATTGTCTGCACTTAGCTTTCTTCTCACATAAGATCTTAAGAGATCATTCCATATCAATAAAGAGCCTCAACTCTATGGATGTACCTTAGTTTGTTTTTAACCATTCCCTTAAGAATAAACATTCAGGTTATTTCCCCTTTTATTATTATGAACAATGCAGCAGCGAATAACTTTACAACATGTTTTTTTAATGACTGTGTAGAAGTTTATGGTATGGCTATACCATGATTTACTTAACCAGCCTCTTACTGTTGGACATTTAGATGGCAGCCACTTTTCACTATTTTAATTAGTACTGTGATGAACACCCAAAATCTTTGCATACATCCATGATCTCTTTCATAGAATAAACTCCTAAAGATGGAACTGGTAGGTATGTAAACTTTTAAGGACTCTTATTTATGTGTTGCCAAATTACCCCCTAAAAAGGTTGTCTCAAATTATACTGTCAACAATTATATGAGTCTACCAATTTCCTGCAACCCTCATCAACAACAGGTATTCTCATTCTTTTTAGTACTTATAAATTAGATATTTAAAAATGATATTTCATAGCTGTTTTAATTCACATCTTTGAGTACTAGTGAAGTTGAATATTTTTATGTTTATCAGTTACTTATATTTCTTTTTCTATTTCTGCATCTATACTTATTTATTTGCAAGTGTTCTTTATTCACTAAGGTACTAACCCTTTGTTTCATGTTGCACATATTAGATTCTTTACAACTAAAATGTTTTTTCCAATATTATTTATCTTATTAGTAATTAGGCAATATTTTAAAAGGTGAATCATTATTAAAACTAATTTTTATTTACAAATTAAGCAAATATGTAAAGAAACATAACCTAACACAACACAATAGAGCACGATAAAATTTGACTCTTTGACTGACTGCCATTCTCCCTCAGAGGAAGAGCTGAATGTAAAATTCCAGCATTGACAAAGCCATCTCTAGCTCATTTTCATTGGTTTTACCCACATTTAAGCTCTTTGTGACCCACTGTTAAACAATGAGAGAAAACCTATATTTGCTCCCAATAAGCCAGACTTCAATTTCAGACAACCACCTTCAACCTAACACCACAGAAAATTTGAATTCTGATCCTACCACACACTGAAATACAGTTGGCCCTCTGTATCTGCAGGTTATACATCTGCCGATTCAACCAACTGTAGATGGAAAATTAAAAAAAAAAAAAAATCCCCAAACCTCAATACAACAACAAAAATACAAATAAAAGAATATAGTGTAACAACTATTTACATAGCATTTACAGTGTATTAGGTATTAAGTAATCTAGAGATGATGATTATACGCAAATACTATATACCATTTTATAAAAGATACTTGAGCATCTGTGGATTTTGGTATCTGAGGCAGGTCCAGGAACCAGTCCCCTGAGGATACCAAGAAACAATTGTATTCCCTTTGGACCAAAAATTCTGGTTATTGAAACTCAAGCCACTGATTTCATGCAAGTTAAATTGACATTCGTTCATTCAGATAATTCTGAAATTATCTCAATTCTCTCTTCGTATTATACAACAAAAACTGTGGCAGTGTATAAAAATGATTTTATTCTTACCGGCAGTTAAAGCAGTTAATTAAATTAAAATGGTTTTGGCCAGGCATAGTGGCTCGTGCCTGTAATCCCGGTACTTTGGTTGGTCTAGATGGGTGGATTGCTTGAGCCCAGGAGTTTGAAACCAGTCTGGGCAACATATTGAGACTCTATCTCTACAAAAACTAATTAGCCAGGCATGGTCACGGTGGTGTATGTCTATAGTTCTAGCTACTCAGGAGGCTGAGCCAGGATGATCATTCGAGCCCAGGAGATGGAGATTGCAGTGAGCTGTGACCACACCACTGCACTGCAGCCTGGGCAACAGAGTGAGACCTTGTCTCCAAAAAAAAAAAAAAAAAAAAAAAAAGATTTCAATTGCAAGATACTAGTTAAAAAACAAAGGAGTCGGCCCTTGAGTCATCTTTTAAATTAGAGTACTTATGACCTTTCAGAAGTATCTACTAGCATTAGTGCTATTTTATTTGATATCAACAGTAGAAACTATTTTACAAAGAGCTACATTTATATTTATGACACAGCTGTTAATTTTCAAATTACTTGAAAGGATGAAGTCATCATGAAGAAAGCATGAAATTTACTCAGTAAATAGTTTCTGAAATTCAGTATTTGGAGGAAAAAAACATTTTTTTTTTTTTTTTTAAGGAGACAGGGTCTCGTTCTGTCACCCAGGCTGGAGTGCAGTGCCATTATCATAGCTCACTGCAGCCTTGAACTCCTAGGCTCAAGCAATCCTTTTGCCTCAGCCTCCCAAGCAGCTGGAACTACAGGTATGTGCCACCATGCCCAGCTAATTTTTTAAATTTTTTTGTAGAGATGGGGTCTCGCTATGTTGCCCATGCTGGTCTCTAATTCCTGGGCTCAAGCCATTCTCCTACCTCAGCCTCCCAGGCATGAGCTACCATGCCTGGCTCATAATAATTTTTTAAAATTAAAATAGAGCCAATATAATTATTGTAGCTATTCTTAAAGTCATTACAGGCTTGAATTAATTCCAGTGACTTGTATTTCCACTAAAAAGGCTGATATGAACAGATGTAGGATGAGATGGCCATTTTATGTACTTATATCTGGACAAAATTATCAAGGCAGCTTTAGGGAATGGCAAATAGAATATTTTTTCATAAAAGGATAATTGGTGTTTTTCATTTTTCAAATTCATTTTCAATAATAGCCAAAAGAAAAAGGAATGATTCTACTTATATAACATTCAATAACAACGAGGCAATAATAATCATTGGTGATAGAAGTCAGAAATGTGGTTTCTGGGGCTGGAGAAGGACAGGGGCATAAAGGGGTCATAAGAAAGCTTCCAGGGTGTTAACAATTCTCTATATCTCCATCTGGGCAGGGTTACACAAATATGTTTACATTATAAAAATTAACTGAGATATAGACATAATTTGTGCACCTTCTGAATGTACATTTTAATAAAAATATTTACTTAATGTTAAAGAAATCTGACAGCAACTATTTTAAATAAATAGAAATTAGAATGTTTAACTTCCAAACTGGTAGAAACACAGAAAGATTGAGGTTATCTTTCTACTTTTACTTTTATCTGTGCTAGCTTTTAATCAGTGCTGGCTTTTTAATCAGGTACCACAATGATGCTTGGTAATTATATTTGGTAATGATTTAACAAAAAAGTTAAATTGTTTTTAACTAAAAAAAAGACAAAAGGCAGAAAATATGAAATTATATTTAATTCCATTTCTATACTTTATTCTATTTACATTTTAAGTTACCAAATTACTAAGGCTCTGATCAATAAGTATTGACTGTGAAAGAGTGTATTGAAAAAATATAATTTAAATAATAATTTATGCCTAATTAAACTGAAAGCTGTGAGGATTCTTTTTCTTGGGTAGCATTTTTCAATCTGTGTTCAGAAGAACATTAATGCTTTAAAGTTTTATAAAAAACAGTATTCAATTAAATTTGGGAATGTTGGGTGAGACAGAAATTCTTCTTTACTATGGGATTTCTGAAAGCCTTTATAGGTTAATGAATATTGTGAATCTCTACAAAAGGTTATATGGTATGTGGCCTTTCTCCTCCCCCACCTCCGCCCCCACACCTATTCACACTGTGTTCCCTGGAACATAGATTAACATAGTTTAAAGCACAGTGAAGTTCTGAGAATGCTGCTCAGAAACTGCCGACTGTGCTAAGTATGCTTTTTAAAGGCTCTATGCACAGTGTAACCTCCACTGATTTTGACGGTTGACTGAATGGGCGTAAAATAAAATTGATCTATTAACAAGTGTTCTTTGAAGGTCTACTATCAAACAATCAACATTTGCTCATTTATGCACTGGCTGGCTGCAGTGAAAGCTGGAGAGATATGAAAAATAATTTTCACTCGAGGGGCTGATTGCCTGTCTACTGGGGAAGAAAAAATAGAATAAAGAAATTTGAGAATATTTTTAACAGTCCAGAGCAGAAAGACTTCTGGACAGCAAGGCTAGCACAAGGAGGAACACTCAGGCCACAGTAGTAGCAGTGATCCTGGGATGTCTAAAGCAGAACCCGAAAGAGTCTGGAAGAGAAGAGGCCAAGTTAGAAAAAGAGAAGAGTTAGGTTCACTGATCAAATCTGTATAGGCTATGAGAAGCCACAAATACCATGTAAAAAAAAAGTTATAGAATCTCTTTTCGTTCAACATTCATTTTAAGATTTGTTTTAAAGCTGTATGCCCAAGCAGCTCTTGAGTGCTAATAGATTTTTATTATTCTGTGCATTTTAGGAATGTAGTTTAGGGATCTCGTGGTCCTGTCTAGATGGACTATGATAATACCAGATCCTGTTGCCATTTTAAATAAATTGCATGCCTTTTAATGTGACATAGTCCCCCATTATTCACCATTATACATCTCCTAACAAAACATTTCATTCATAAAAGCATGCTATGGCCACATGTAGACACAAGAGGATCCACAAACCAAAAGACATTTTATACAGATAACATCGACTTGTCCTACCTTCATGAGGTCAAGCAGAACACTATTTAAAATTCCAAGGTATCTTCTCTCCAATGACTGAGGATGGTTAACAGCTGGAAACTGTAAGGACAACATAACAGTAATGTTAGCATTTGAGGAAGGATGTGTGTGTGCATATGCTTGTGAGTGTTGCAGAAGGGAGCAGACAAGCAGAAGTTACTGCCCTAGTATCAATCTAAGTCAAATCGTATTTGTATATTACTTTTGGTGTCTATGTATTTTAAGTATGGATTAATAGGACTGGGTATTAAATAACAGGAAAACTCACAAGTGGAAGATGATACTTAAATCTAGGCAGACAATACTGAGACATGTAAAAGAAACCATTAATAAAATATAAAAACTTGAAACTGTATTTTATAGTTTATAGAATACTGCCCCTGCTTATAGAAACAATTCAGTTCTAATAAAGTGTATACAGAATTTGCTTATATAGGCTTACAATTACTTCTAACAGTAATTGGGGGATTAGCAGAAGGGATATGATATTGGAATTCTTACACCTTTTTCACAACATATTTACTCCTGAAAATAGAGAAGTAAAAAAAGAGAAAAAGGCAGTGAGTGGCTAGTACCTAAAAGGTCACTCCAAAGTAGAAAAAGTGAATTTCGATACGTGTTCTATTATTGCTTTTAACATACTTTTGTAATGGTCTGTTTTCAAATCCTTCCTTTTTGTAAATTGGAACAGAAGACAAACATAGGCTCCTAGATTAACAAATGCATTTTTAAATAAAATGAGGGGAAGGGGTCAAGTTTATTTAGATATTCTCCTTTCCTCTGCCAACACACATTCTGCAGTATCTCAGGGGATGTTAAAGCTTTGGGTAATATGTCTGACAGAGCCCATGCCATGTACTCCCGCCAAATGTGAAGGCTAGTCTGCTTCCAATATATATTTCATTTATACCAACATAAAAGCATTTCGAAGTACTGAAATCTCTAAATATGCTAAATAAGTGGATGGGAGGACTAATTATGCAGTGGAATTTCAAGCAGGGTATTTAAGGAGTGATTTATGACATCATCCCCACACTGTGTTTGGCAGGGCAGTAGACACAGAAGATGGGTAAGACCTAAACCCTGCTCTTTAGGAATCTGCTGTCGGGTTGGGAAAGCAATCAGTATTAAACTGTACAGGCATAAATTCTAATTGAAGCTCAGGGAAAGGAGAGACCACGGTGGTTTGTGGCTGTGGAAGAATGAACCCACAGGTAATACTTGAACTGGGTTTTGAAAGATAAGAAAAATGTGACGACAGAGAAAAGTAGGACAGCATCTTCCAGATAGAGGAGTAGAAGGAATAATGTGAACTTCACACAGATGCACAGGCAATAACCTAAAACCGATTTCTGGGGGAAGTGATGCTATGCAAGGCATTTTAGATATTATTATTATTCTTATTTTAGAGATGAAGAAGGTGACAATCAGAAAGTTCAAATAACTGGTTCAAGGCAAGTTATATAATTAAAAAGCAGTAGAACTAGTATTTGTACCCAGTCCTGTGATCCAAACCCACACTCTTTCTAAACCTAGGTGCCTCTCCTAAAGGAAGTTCCTTTTGATGTTTTTAGAGCATTAAATGTCAGTCCAAAGAGACAGACACCTACCATACTTCAATAAAAGACCCTATACTGGTATATTTTAATTAATATTTTGCTTTTGAGATCTATCTTATGCTACCAGATAGTCCCCACCCTTTACTTTTTCAAGGAGTAACATTTCATTGATAAGAAAATTAATGTTGAAAAGTCAAAAGGTATTAGAAATACTACAATAAAAAATGACCAAGCAAATTAACTTAAAAAATTAATTTATGTGCTTTTCAATGAAATCTACTATTCTGACATCATTCAACAAACAGCCAAAACTCATAGAAGTTTAAAGTATATCCCAATCAGCAGCTTATTCTGTTTTCTTTCTTAATCACTTGGCCAAGAGAATACAGTGAGAGTGCCTCTTTGCTGAGCACCATGTGCCAGGCACTGGCCTGGGCATTTTACATGTAACATTTCAATCACGCAGTACTTCTATTACCGTCATTTTACACAAGAAGCAGCAGAGGCACAGGATGGTGAAATAACTTCCTGAGGTCATTCAAGTAGTAAATATGGAGTCAGGCATTGAACTCCAGTAGTCTAACTCCAGAGCTCATGCCCTATACTATTGAGACATCAATTGTTACTGTTTCCAAATAATGCAAACCATTACAGCAACATCTTGTGGATTTTCCAATCTGTACACAATTGAATCCAAATGCACATCACACTGGACTGGTTACTGGTGAGTCTGTCGCTCACAGCAGCTGTACTTTACACACCCTATGTGCTTAGCTATCTGTCCCAGACATTCTCAAGTACTATCATAAAAGAAAACTTTTCCCTCAAAAGATGTTATTAAGGCCGGGGGCGGTGGCTCATGCCTGTAATCCTAGCTCTCTGGGAGGCCGAGGCAGGTGGATTGTTTGAGCTCAGGAGTTCAAAACCACCCTGAGCAAGAGCGAGACCCCGTCTCTACTAAAATTAGAAAGAAATTAATGGGACAACTAAAAATATATAGAAAAAATTAGCCGGGCATGGTGGCGCATGCCTGTAGTCCCAGCTACTTGGGAGGCTGAGGCAGGAGGATTGCTTGAGCCCAGGAGTTTGAGGTTGCTGTGAGCTAGGCTGACGCCACAGCACTCACTCTAGCCCAGGCAACACAGTGAGACTCTGTCTCCAAAAAAAAAAAAAAAAAAAAAAAGATGTTATTAAGCCTCCAAAGAAATTAAACTAATTTAGTTAAAATACCACAAAGACTTTCAGACTAAAATGTAAAAGTATTAAGGTTTATAAAAGTCCAAGTGTCATGGAAGCAGCAATTTCCCTGAAGGATATTTGTAAGCAGCGTTGTCCTATGTTGTCTAGCATTTTATAGATAATATTGCTTAGTGAGGAAGAGTGTGAATAAACAGAACCACAGAGAAATGAGGAAAAGATATCCTTCGTGTGGCCTATCCAATCCGAATGCCATTCATTCCTCAATATCCATTTCAAATTTCAAATGCTCCATAAAGCCTTCTCTAATGAATCCCCAACTATGACTTCTCGCTTTCCAGAACCTCTGACACTTTTCATGGTCTAAACCATATTGAGATATATTAGAAAAGAGTACAATAAAGAATATAGTACTTTATTATGTACCACACTTTCTTATAAATTGTATTGTTTTCTAATGATTTCATGGATGAAAGTCTTAATTCTTCAGCTAGTTTATAAGTTATGAAGGCCAAGTACCATGTCAAATCTGTTTATACTAGCTTCAGTGCTATCCTAAGGAATTTAAACTTCACCAGCAATCCTGCAGAGGTTTTTAAACAAAAGAGGGATAGAATTAATTGTGCAATTTGAGAAATGTGAACACATTGAAGAGAGAAAGTTTGAGAGATCAGTTTGGGAGTGGTTGTCAATAGTTAGGTAAAGGTGACAAAGTGAAAGAAGCATCAGAGATGATGGAGAGAAATGGAATATAGTTTGAGCTTCAATGGTGATAATACAGATTTTGGAAAGCCAGATTGGTTCAACTGCTCCTCAAATGTTTAGTGAATGCCTACTAGATGTGCTAGGTTCTGTGTTAGATGTTGGAAATACAGTGAAAAAACAGTTGATTTCTGCCCTTGGGGAACTCATATTCTAGTAGGGGAGGACTAGACAGTTAATAATAAACAAGTAAACAAATAGACAAAATAATTTCATACTGTGATAAATGTTATGATAGAAAAAAGAAGGGTGCTATGGCAGAGAGAGACTAGGAAGGAGGTGGGGACACTATGTTGGGTGGCCAGAGAGAAGAGGCATTCTCTGAGTTGAGATTTACACAATAAGAAGAGGCCACATAATGGAAACACCTTCCTGGGAGAAGAAGCCATAGGTCCCAAATCCGTGAAACTGGAAACACCTTGGAATATTTGTGGAAGCCAAAGAACAAGAAAGGCAAGTGTGGTGAATATCGGGAGAGGGAGGGGGATGGAGACAGGTATGAGATGAAGTCAGTGAGCCAGAAGGGCCTAGATCATGCAAGGTCTCACAGGCCATAGCAAAGAATTTAGATCGATCCTCAGTGAAACTGGAATTCATTAATTATGACTAACTTTATTCCTGAATATAACAGATTTTCCTTTCTGATAGACTGGGGTCAAGTCCTATTTATTGTCACATTTTCAGCGTCTAGTATGACAAATGTTCAATAAAGTTGAACTAACCTGTTGAACCACATCTGCTGTTTGTACCCTAATTAATGGTCAGAATTTGGTGAATTTTTGGCTTTCAATAGCAAAAATAAAGGAAGAAAAGACAAACTTGCCTGACGTAACTTAGATTTGGAAGAATGAGAGAAAGCAGGAAGGAGATAAAAGAGACACTGTGTATACCTCTATCCATTCATTTTGCCCATATTCACTGAGCCCAGTAGGAATTGACTGGTACTGTGTTAGGCTCTCAGGTGTGACCAGCGGTAGTCTCCAAAGGGAAATTAATCGAGGGCCAGAAAGTCAAAAAAAAAAAAAAAAAAAAAAAAAAGCTTTGCAAATGGCAAGGTAACGTGGTTTGAGAATTATGCACTTCAGAGAAAGAAAGAAAGTGGTGGTGAGATTATTTTCCAGTTCCCACAATGACCACCAATTGACATGCTGGCCCAAAGGAGTGGTTGAAAACTGAAAAAGTCACTTTGCGGGTAGATGGAAGAAAGAAGCAACCTTTAACTCCCTGGCCACTCCAATAAGGTACCTCTTCAAGTTGGATGCCCCTCATTTGGGGAAAGTTTATACTTTCTAAGATGCCTTTTAGCATATTCTCAGAAAACAAGTTTTGTACAATATACTAGTTTGAAAAGAAGATTTGATATTTCACTGTCAATGGACAAAAATATATCTGCTAGAATAAGAACCTTTAAATCTGCAGAATGCAAATATCTCATGACTCTCAAATCACTTCAAATATGTTTGCTCAAAGAAGCTGTAGCCGTTCATACATTTTGTATCTTTGGGGGATACTTAATATTTTGGACAAAGAAATGGTTTAAGATAACCAAAGTTTAGAGTATAAGAATGCATACGCTAAGTAAGATTTTGAAAAATTGGAACTTACAAAATTAGAAAACACATTAGCAGCTCCCACTTTCAAACTCTGACCACTTTTTAAATTCAGAAATATAAGATTCAGAAATAAAATATTATAGTAGGGATTATAAACATTGTAATGGGAAAGGGAATAGTATTCAAAGGATAGTTTAACATTTCACTGTGCAATGAACAAAGATTTAAATACTGCAGTATTGATTCCATTTTGGGTTTTAGCAAAACCTCTTACCCGGAGACCATGGAAACGAGGATTACTGTAGAAGAGCTTCATCTGCTCAGATGGAAGAGGTCCTAGAACCTTCTGAATAGTAAAAAGTTGGTCAATTTCACTTTCTCCAGGAAATAAAGGCTGTCCATCGCTAAGCTCCCCAAGAATACAGCCCACTGACCACATGTCTACAGACTTTCCATAAGGAGCTCTGAAAAGCAAAGGGAGAGATTACCTTGGCAACAGAAGAAATGTTTTAATAATTTCCAAATTATTTTGAACAGATTAATGATTTAAAGCACATTTGTATATTTAAGGAATTAAAAAGTATCATGTGAATAAAAGGAAGTACAGATATCCAAGTAAAACTTCAGAACACGAGTGAATAAACCTATGATAATGAAGCAATCAATTTAATAATAATTTAATTAGTATCACTAATTTGAAATCTGTTCATCTCAGATATATATTAAACATAAATGGCTTAATAAACTCTAATTCAGTACACATATCTGATGAGTAACACCTCACTCACCTGGGGAATGAAATGTTCCCAAGCAATGTATTTTCTAGGTAATTTATCCTTTAGCTCTCTAAATGTCAAAAAGTTACATCTTACCCAGTTTTTGAGTTCAGTATATTAAAATGTACTATGTATTGACTTATATGTCTTCTTAAACAAACACTGAATATTATTTAACGTTTGATTATTTAGCATTACAATTTCTAATAGCTAAGATTGTGTTAAACTCTATCGTATTATTTACTTGAATATAGGGAGTGCCCTATTATACCAGGCTCTATAACAGCTATTTCCCTAAAAAGCATTTTTCAGTTTACTTAGGGGTTTATAGCTCTCTTCTAGGGTCTGAGTTTACCAGAGGGCTTAAGAAATGTTGCTGCTATTAACAAATGGAGGTTATAACCTTAAATTAATTTATGGCAGATTAAGTAAGAATCAATGTACACGTATTTCAAACATAAATAATCCAAGCTTTAAGAAGGGAAAGCCAAAATAATACAGTAGTAATACAAAACTTCTACCTAAAGCACTGTTAACATTACACAGCATATATTTCTATGATAATAAATCATTGCAATAATAGATCAATATTTTATTTATCTCATTTCCTTCCCACAAAGACCTAAAAATCATATGAGGAAACTTCATTTAGATCTTTTTGGTAGCTTGTTGGGGAGAGAAGGATACTGATCTTTCTTTTGCATCTGTTCAAGAGAGAGAAAACTTGTTCCATAGTGCTAGATGGAGAAACCTATGGAAAATCTCCACATCCCCAGTACAAGCTATTTTTCTTTTGTCATCTGATTTGAATAATTTATGTAGCTGGAACTATTTTGAATGTCAAGGACAAAGCCTTGGGAATATATAAAAATGTAAATTCTTAACGTATAACCAAATATCAACTGATTTCAATGGGACTTTTACACAAACATGGTTCTTCAACTAGTACTTGACAATCACTTAATTAGCAATATTCACTTTAGCTCTAATTACCTGGAGATTACTAATTACTTGCACTGTCCCCATCTACTTTTGGCAGCTACCACATATCTCTAAACAAAACCTCACTTTTCCTATAGATAGTATTAGGCAGCACATACTCTGAAGATTCACAATAAGGCTGTCCTCAAAACGAACTCCTTGGGGCCCTCTTAGAAACAAAATCATATTATTAATATAAAGAGTCTTTCTACCATACTTGAGTCCTTGGATGGGGTTCTAAGAACGACCTACTTCATATTCATTTGTTCATTCAAACAGTGTCTGGTAAATTCAAATTCCAATCCTCCCACAAGAAAATGAACTATGCATCCCAGTGAGTCAAGGAAGGTACACAGAAGAAACAAACACAAAGAAAATCAATCCTAATTTCAAGACTAAAAATTAGCACAGAAATTCTAAACTCTGTCCACAAAGTTGGAGAGATAATAAAGTGACTAATCACCATTTATGTCTCAGGATAAAGCAAATTTTTGATTTCAAAAAATTAGTAACGCTTTTAATAACTGATGCCAATAATTCTTATAGGCTCTAGGTCAGCAACAAATCAAGAATTACCACCAGATGGCTGGTAGACACTGGGAAATGAATAGTTAACGTCAAAATAAACCCTCAGTCAGTAACTTAAACATGTTGTCATCATGCTCTTCAGAAGAAATCCAGAAATTTATATTATTATATAAAAAGTATCTTTTAAAAATTAAATTCCTTATATCCTCCAGATACATGTATGGCACACTAAAGGTAAGAGATGAAACCTACAATTTATGCACTTGTCATCATTACCACTATGCCTAATTTTATTTGTAGAGTGTAACTTCTTTTCTCTCTTTTTTTTTGAGACAGAGTCTCTCTCAGTCACCTTGGGCAGAGTGCTGTGGCATCAACTTAGCTCACAGCAACCTCAAACTCCTGCCTCAGCCTCCCGAGTAGCTGGGACTACAGGCGCTCGCCACCACGTCCGGCTAATTTTTTTTTCTTTTTTTGAGACAGTCTCACTCTGTTGCCCTGGCTAGAGTGCCATGGCATTAGCCTCGCTCACAGCAACCTCAAACTCCTGGGCTCAAGCGATCCTCCTGCCTCAGCCTCCCGAGTAGCTGGGGCTACAGGCATGCGCCACCATGCCCGGCTAATTTTTTCTATATACTTTTAGTTGTCCAGATAATTTCTTTCTATTTTTTTCAGTAGAGACGGGGTCTCCCTCTTGCTCAGGCTGGTCTCGAACTCCTGAGCTCAAACAATCCGCCCGCCTCGGCCTCCCAGAGTGCTAGGATTACAGGCGTGAGCTACCGCGCCCGGCCTAATTTTTGATTTCTATTTTTGGTTGCCTGGCTAATTTTTCTATTTTTAGCAGAGACGGGGCCTTGCTCTCGCTCAGGCTGGTCTCGAACTCCTGAGCTCAAGCGATCCTCCTGCCTTGGCCTCCCAGAGTGCTAGGATTACAGGCATGAGGCACCGCGCCCGGCCTAGAGTATAACTTCTTTTTCCACTCTTGGGTGGTCCCAAAGAAGGAACTATAACCTAGAGAAAATAAGAAAATATTACAACTAGAGTAGGTAGAGAATTATTAATAAAACTATGTGATGGAGATCAGGACTACAGGCTCCTTCTTAGGCTCTAAAGTTGTAATGTACCAAATAGAAAAGAACCTTATCAGAAGATCTTTATCTGGTGTTAACAGATGAATGAAAGAACATTGAAAGTGGAAGAGTGGGAATAAAGCAGATAAACGTAGAGGTGTTACTGAGAAAATCATCGATGTGGTACTAGTTTGAAAAGCCATTTATAATCAAACAGGATTTATGTTATTCAGAAGAAAAATAGCAATTGGTTCAATATTTACCCCATGTGTCTGGCAAAGTGGCTGGATAAGTATTTGATGAATGAATACATGAATGAATAGATAAGCCATAATGTCAAACTGTGTGGACATGCACATTCTTAATGTGGAAGATTATTAGCAAAGATGGCTGCAATAATTTCTTCCATTTCTGTATGTATGCCACTTTGTTATGTGGCTCTGCCACTTCTCCCATCGAGAGGTGGGATTTATTTCTCTATACCCTGAATCAGGGCTTGGCCATGTAATATACTTTGTCCAATGAGGCAAAAGCCATGCAAACAAAGGCTTGAAAAGCACCTTTGCTTTGGGGCTTACCCTCTACAGCATAGCATTCTCCCACTATCACACAAAAAAACTTGGACTACCGGAGGATGAGTTCCCATGGATCAGACATGATCTGTCCCAGCTGAGGCACCCTAAACCAACCAGCCCCCAGATGACCTGCCAGCTGACTGTAGCTACATGAGCGACTCCAAGAGAGACCAGCAGAAGAACCATCCAGCCAAACTCAAATTACTGACACCCAGAAATGTGAGCAAATAAAGTGGTTCTTGTTTCATACCATTAAGTTTTTAGGTGGTTTGTTACACTGCAATATATAACTGACACATTTAATTAAATGAAGTTCTTATTTTCCATAGATGATCTCAAAGTCAATGATACAGGATCAGCAGATGTGTACATGCCATCCTATTTTGGGAAGGTAACTCACCCAAGTAAGAGTTCTGGTGACCGATACCACCTGGTGGCCACATACTCTGTGTAATTAGCATTATTGCCTTCTGACAGATTCCGAGCAAATCCTGAAAGATAGCAAAGCCAAAAGCTATAACTTTGAAAAGGAAGTAATAATTTCATGTTGGCAAAATATTTCAGTGCTACTAATACTTTAAAAGAACATCAAAAGAACATAATGACTGTTATTGAATGGGTTAGGTATTAATAGTATGCTTATTATCTCAAAAAGTAGGGTGTTCCTGTGTCATCTGAAATATATACAATGTATTTATTTACAAATTTAGTCTCTCCCCTATGCTAAAGAAATTCATGTTTTCAAAGTCACCTCATGCTTTTATAACCATTCAGAGCATACTTTTAAATCAGCTCTCCCAATAAACACAAATCTTAGGAACAAAATGAAGTCTCCATTAAGAACTAAAAGTCAAAGTAGCATATTGTAGATGGTCATTAATTCTGCTATATGGGACTTACATAGTGTTTGTATTTCTATTGTTGCTGAGCAGTTCACCCATTATATAAACAACTAACAGTTGGCAGCGATGGAAACAAAGCAGGCCAAAATTACTATCATTTCCTAACGACAGAGAAGCATACTAGAGGTATCTTAATTACCTTATAGACTCTACCACTACTTTTCCCCCTAACCCTTTCAAAAGGTTTGGGGGCCACTGCATAGCCACAAAATAAGGAAGCAGGATAAGTTAGTTACCCATCTAACTCACCAAATGCAATACAGGTTCATTGTGAATAGTTACAGAAAACCAGAACACTAAAATTAAGGGTAAAAATTAAGGGATATGTCAGTTCCGAAATATAGATAATAGTGTTTCTTAAAACGAAACAGTAAAAAATAAAAACCATAATAAAAAACAAAACCCCTAACTTCAGTTAATCAATATTTCTTTGTACAACATACTTTGAAGAAATACTTGTATTTTTGAATGGGGTTTTTCAAGTCAGACAAAGAAGCTGCATGCTGTAGGAATGAAAGTAATTAGGAAGTCTTTACTAGGGATGCACAGGACACAGAGTGTCACATGTGGTGCTGCCAGGAGGAACTTCCCGACCATTTAAAATAGTCTTTTCTTTAGGAAATAATGCTAGACCAGGCGTACTCTTTTCCTACTATTAACCATTCTACAGGCATTTCTCTTGTATTTATAACTTGCTTTATAATTTCAGTAACTTTGGAGCTTAAACAGATCAGCAACCCATAGAATCATGCATGCTCAGTAAATGGTGTATGAAGCACATAAAGTCTCAGTGTTGGGTAGTGACTACAATTACAGACAGGAAGTGAGACATAAATACTGTTTCTGAAACTCATAATGCTAAGGAAATGCTAAAAATGCCAAGATCAAAATCTTTTTGATACAGTATTCAATATTTCCTTTTTATTCTAAGCATGTCTTTAAAAATCTAGGATATAGCAAGACTCTTCTTTGCAGTATTTCTTTTTTTTTTTTGAGACAGAGTCTTGCTTTTGTTGCCCGGGCTAGAGTGAGTGCCGTGGCATCAGCCTGGCTCACAGCAACCTCAAACTCCTGGGCTCAAGCAATCCTTCTGCCTCAGCCTCCCGAGTAGCTGGGACTACAGGCATGCACCACCATGTCCAGCTAATTTTTTCTATATATTTTTAGTTGTCTGATTAATTTCTTTCTATTTTTAGTAGAGACGGGGTCTCGCTCTTGCTCAGGCTGGTTTCGAACTCCTGAGCTCAAACAATCCGCCCGCCTCAGCCTCCCAGAGTGCTAGGATTACAGGCGTGAGCCACCGTGCCCGGCCCTTTGCAGTATTTCTTATCACAAAGTATGAAGAAAATTAAGTCTTGTAAAAAATTTTTTCTCAAGTAAGCAGGTTCAGGTTCATAATATTCAAATTTTTTGAAAATATTGAGTGAAAACAGCTACACATGCTTCCAATCGCTATATTGGACAAACTGGGTCATTCTACAATGTGAATTCTTAAAATACTTCTGTTTCTCACTTGTGAAATCCATCTATGTACTAATCTAATTTCTGCTTATAAGGATGGATTCTTAGTTATATGTGGAGGTTTACATCGTATTTATGATTATATATGAATATACAAAAAATTAAAAAAAAATAAAGTTCTTATTTTTCAGGATATGGATTAGGCAAAACCATAATTTAAAAAAGTGATCCATGACCTAAACACCCTAATTTATAATTTAAAAACTTTTCTGAATTATTTTCATTTAAATCTTTAACGTTGCTTAATACAGACTTATCTATATGGGAGACACACAATTTTCTAATAGGAGAGAGTGCAACTCAAGAAGTTTCCTATACAGTAAATCAAGAGCTAAAATATTATACATCAATTATTAATCTTATTCATTGAACATTTAGAGGAAATAAAGTGTTCTAAAATGTCTTTTGACCTTATAGATATATAACTATTGCATGTACATATGTGTATATTTGTATAGGCATATTTTTAGTGTTTATGATTAAACCTAGAACAATTTCTATCAACGTTTAAAATATTTTTTTTTATTCTACTCAAACCAAAAGGCCATAGTGATAGTTTTCAGAAAATTCTTTTTCTGGGGTCATTAGGTACTAGGCTGATGAATATACGCATATGCATGTATTTGCTTTGAATTCTTATTAAATACCACAGGATAAATTTTTAAAAATAGTAGACACTACTGTGCAAAGCAAAGAGAGAGTAGTACTTCCTCTAGCAATCAAGTTTTCAACATATGACCCAATACAATGTCCCTCTGCTAATTTATGCCAGTTCATAAAAATTACTTTTAATATGCCTTTAAAAGCTACCTATGTGTTACCTTAAATTTTGTAAGTAGCAGGACTCAACTTCTTTTAACTTACCAAAGTCGCACAGTTTCAGAACATCATTGTGGCTGATTAAGAGATTTTCTGGCTTTATATCTAGAGTATGAAGATTAAAAAACAATTAGTAAAAATGTTCTATGTTCTACTGATTGACACTGTTAGATCACTATAAAACAGCATCTAATTATAAATATCTAGAGTAACTTGAATACTTGAATAGAAAACTGTGGCAGTGAAAAGTAGAGTAACAAATTTGATGCTGGTACATAAAACTTTCAATTAATTTCTTTTTGAGAAATATGCAGGGTCATAATTTCAAAAGCAATGTTTTTCTCTTTAAATCTTAAAAGGACTAATTGGGTCTCGGAAGGAAATTTAAGAATGAATGAATCCAGGCTAACACATTTCAAGAAACTATTTTTACTTCATGAAATACTAATAATACAAATTTTTGGAGATAGAATATAAAATGTTTATACCCAGAAGATACCTTAAAAATACATATGAGAGTTAGTAGCTAGCATTATATTTACTGGAAGAAAAAAATACAAGGTATGCTTCCTGTTTTGGTTTTCTATATAATTTCTATATTTACATCTCCTTAGCTTTTCTGTGTGGTTCACAATTATCAATGTCTAATGCTGAAACTATACTGGAGGAGTCAAGTTAAGATTTCTAATTTTTTCCATGGATCCTTTGAAGATGTGGTGGGAATAGAGATTCAGAGAAAATGCAACTGAATTCTCCCTTTGGGAGGCATCTCACAATTCTATTTTTAGAGTACCCATCATCTATATCATACGGTGGAGGTGCAAATGGATAAAGGCAGAGGTAGTAAAATCTGTAGATTTCAGAATCATAGTTCATACCACTGATGTGCAACACATTTCAAGAAACTATTTTTACCTCACAAAATACTAATAATACACTTAACCAAGTGTATTATCATGACACTTCACAGTATCATGATGGAAATGTAGCTATAATAATTCAGCTCCTCATTAATATCCTCAAACAATTAGATAGACTGTAATTAAAAACATTAACCTAGACACCAAATGGCCAGTTGACTTGGAGTTCTATTTAACAACCTTGATAAGGTAACTGCTATGAGAGTTAAACGCAAGAGAAATATGAACTGTCTCTAGAAATAATAGAAGTTGGCATTCTCCATACGACCTTTAAGCTATTCTTAAAAACAATACTATTTTTTTTTCTTTTGGAGACAAGAGTCTTACTGTGTTGCCCGGGCTAGACTGCTGTGGCATCAGCCTAGCTCGCGGCAACCTCAAACTCCTGGGCTCAAGCAATCCTTCTGCCTCAGCTTCCTAAGTAGCTAGGACTACAGGTATGCGCCACCATGTCTGGCTAATTTTTTCCATATATTTTTATTTGTCCAGCTAATTTCTTTCTATTTTTAGTAGAGACGGGGTCTCGTTCTTGCTCAGGCTGGTCTTGAACTCCTGAGCTTCAAACGATCCTCCCCCCTCGGCCTCCCAGAGTGGTAGGATTACAGGCATGAGCCACCATGCCTGGCCAATACTATTTTTTAAAGTGACATCTTTGTGTGTTTGTATAGGTAAATTAAAATGTAGCATTCATTTATCTGATAATTCAAAGATAAGAAGTGAATATTGCCAACATTGCTGATAAGCATCTTTTAGTTTCATTATTTTATTAATTTGTATCCCACTATTGTAAAACTCTGCAATGCAAGAGAGATTATCAGGAGAAGATAAATGATGTAGAGTCAAAGATGATGCTGAGCAAGTAATTTCCCTTTTATTGCTATAAACCACCCACTTCATTGTAGTAAAGGACAAAATAAAAGAGTTTATGGACACATAATTATGGCCTTTATGCAAGGCTGATCATGCCTACAACCTGCAGACGATGAGCACTTTCACTAACAGGTGGGGGAAATGAAGAAAGAGGCAAAGATACATACTAGAGATTGTGGGTATAAGAGAGAATGAGAGGTGAGCACCAATGGGGCTCAGTGACTTAGGGACCACCTATAAAGCCTGATTCTGGGTTGTGTCACATTACCTGGTCTACCTGTAGGACCAAATAAATGGGCCCCCCACCATAAAGTAAGCTTCAACGTTCACATTTGTTCAGCTTTCTTATATCACTAGGCATTTCTACAGTTGAGAGTGGATCTGGTTATATGAACACGGAGGTCTCATAATATCCAAATAAATTTGTGATTAATCCTTTTGGTGATACAAAAGGAGATTTGGAGAGCAAATGACTTCTAACATACTGTACTTTCAAAATAATAAATTTAAAAGGAAATGTCAATATGTGAAGTATTTTGTTAACTTTATTTGATTTTTTTTTTTAAATATTTTCCGCCTCTAAAATCTCATACTCACCTCTATGGACGATATCATTCTTATGGCACCAGTGAATAGCTTTGATTAGTTGATAGATGTAGCTTTTTACTTTTTCAGGTGGAACTCCATTTGGCATTTCTTCCAGCAATTCAAGCATATTCTAAAATTAGAGTCATTAATTTCAAAAATTAGGTAGGCCCATAAATTATGTATTAACAGTTTTTTTAAAAACATCTTGGATAATTCGTCCAATATACAACATGTAAGTTTTTATTGTTTTTATTTATTGCTTTCCATCTATAACTTTTGTCATGCTGAATCAGGATATTGCATTAAATCAAGGCTTTCTTTTATGAGAAATTCCATTTTTACTACTCCGTAATGATGCTCCAAAAAATAACCCTATGTACTTTTCACTCCCTCTCAAGCTTTTCAGGCATTATTTTAGAATAATTTGAAGAGAAAAGCAATACAAAGTAGAGATATGACCCTGTAATGTATAAAGGGGGTGGGGGGAAAACAGTCATTTTAACACAGAACAGTATGTATCTTCAATAGAACCTCGCAATAAAATCAAGCCTTGAAAATATTTCTGGAAGATCTGGGTGACATTCTTAAAAGAAAAAAAAAAAAAGAAAAGAAAAAAGTCCCTAAGATTAGATATGATCAACACATTTAGTACAAAGATTAAAACAGGCTAGAAAATACTGTTGAAATAAAAACTCACAGATCTCAAACAATTCAATAATCAAAATCCTTAGTTTAGAGTCAGAGACCATTCTAAATAAAATTCATGTAAAATTTTTTCTTAAGTAGAAACTCCACTGAGCCAGTTTCCCCTGAATTTCCACATTAACTAAACATTCTCCATTCCCTCTGTAAATCACAATGCCTAAGGCCCACACCAGCATCATCATAGCTTGTGGCATCCAGGATAGCAGTACTCAAAGTGTGACCTGCAGATCTCAGGGATGTCAGACCCTGCAGAGGGCCCATGAAGTCAAAACCATATTTGTAGTAACACTCAGACATTTGCCTTTTTCACTGTGTTGGCATTTACGCTGATGATACAAAGCAACAATGGGTAAACTGCTGGCACCTTAGCATGAATCAAGGCATTGGATTTGTTAATCCAATTAACCCTTGCAGTTAAAGAAAGAAAAAAGCAGCAGTTTTAGATAAGAATGTCCTTGATAAAGCAGTAAAAAATACTACTTTTACTAAGCTTCGATTCTTGAGTATATATCTTATTAAGAATCTATGTGATAGAATGAAGAATACACATAAAGCCCATCTGCTGCATATGTGCCATCTGTATGATGGCTGTTTTTAGGAAAAGCACGTGGACGACTGTGATGCAAGCTGAACTAGCTGCTTTTTCTGTGAAACACCATTTTTTACTTGCAAGAATGACTGACAAACTTATTTATGTTAACATGCAATGGGTTTATTGTTATTTAAAATGAATTAATGAATATTTTTCTATTGCTCGGTTTTGACTTCCAATGAGAAACATTGCTAAAACCCACATAAATAAAAAGTTCTTAGAGTTCCTAATAATTTTCAGAGTGTAAAGGAGTCCTAAGACCAAAAAGTTAGAAAAATGCTGTTCTAATACAGCCTCACAATTTTGTTCCCACCACTTGAGTTGTATACCTGTAGAGAATCAGTTGTGCTTATTTCTATACTTATTTATAATAGATGCATTTGTTATTTTAATTATGTCATATAAACCAATGAAATAATATTTTTTAAAGAGTTGCTGTTTATAAGAAAACAAAGTTGAATGCTTTGGAAAGACTTAATAAAGGAAAGCCACTAAGCATATTGCCGTCTAATCAAATGTGAGTGAGATAACTATAAAAACACTGGCAAGGGATGGGTGCTGGTGGTGGTAATAAGCATATATATTAAAGGATTCTCCATTGAGATTGCTTTGCAAGTGTTTCTGAGCTTTTGCTTCACTTTAAAGATGCATTATGTGTATCCTGTATATAAAAAAGTCCAATCAGAAGAGCAATCCACGAAAGGTCTTGACCCTACCTCTAAAGGGTGGTAAATGAATATATACAGTATTTATGTTTCCAGTTAAAATAAAATGTTTAAAGTATTTATGAATCGTTTTTTATAATTCTCCACTTGAATTGTCTGTTTCAATTAACAAATATACAGGAGGCCCCAAATTCACAGGAGGAAAAGGAGGACTTTATAATACAGAAAACAAATTGTATCTTTCATTTCATATTCCACTGTAAATTTCTCAGTGGCAGAGATATTGTCCCCCAGTATCTATTCTTCTTTTATTCCATAGGAATACAATTTTTGAGTGGAGGCCTAGCTTCCCAGAACAAAGGGTACATTTCCCCTCTGCCTTGCAGCTAGTGTGTCCATGCAACTACATCCTGGCCAATGGGATATGACTGACAGCTGGATCTCTATCCTGACCTTGAGGACAAAGGCCACATCTCAGAGGTGGTGGAGCAGAAAGGCAGACAGAAATAGCCTGAGCCTCCTACACCGTGGAGCAAAGCTGCCACACTAGTCCTGTACTGTCTACCTTTGTATTTATATGTGAAGGAGAAAGAAACTTCTATTTTGTTTAAGCCACTGTAACCTTGGGTCTTTGTCACCTGTCTCCTACTCCTTACAGCATCTTTCTCCTTGCCTTCCTGAGACACACTGTCAACTGTTAGGCACTGCCACTGATGGGCAGGTATGGTGGTCATCTTCCACCTAAGAACCACACAGGGCCAAGAAAGAATCCCAGGCCTGGGGGTCACAAGACTGGAGTTCTGGTAGCAGCTCTCCCTTTTACGAGGAGAGAGATCTCAGACACACCAAATTGCCTCTCCCATTGGGAAAACATACACAGAGGTATACTAAATTTTATTAGTCATGAATAATCACGAGTAGAACAGAAATAAAAAACTGAAATAGATCTGTCAAAATTTTAATATTTGGCAGTGAAAACTGCAAACTGCATGATTATCTGTGACAACTAAAAAATAAAGAGCATCTGATTTTCCCTGGGATCCTAGTTTAGCAATCCTTTTTTCAAAAAAAAAAACCTTAAAAAAAAAAATCAACTTTTAGTTTTATTTTGGTAGAGAAGATACCTTAGGAGAATACCTAAACTGACACAGAAAAAGAAACTTAAAATGGATTTTGGAAAAGGAAAATAAAAGCAGTGGTTTAAAACTACAAAGAATCTTCTAGTATTTTTCAAATTTGCAAATAATGGAATTACTATGTAAATATTTTTTATTTTGAAAAGTAATTTGTAAAAGCTGAATGAATTTGAGGCCATGTTATTGGTCAGTCACCTTGGCAACACTGCTTTCCATTTGGTAATGAAAATGGTGATACTCTATCATTTATGGTATAGCAAGCACCTGGGCATGGACCTATAGCAAACAAATCTCTCTCATCTCAGCCTTCTTTAGATAATAGCACAGGCAATTGGTGGTTGCCATCTATTTACTTATCAAGGAAACTGCTAAAAGGTTTTCCTGGCTCCAGTTTCTTCTACTACTGTTAAGGCGCTTATTTATTTAAGTTCTTAACCAACTGCTATAGGTCAACTGCTCTCTAAGAAATCCCTAGGCACACATTATTGATTACTGTAACATACATCTGCCCTTAGGTCATGTCATTAAAATTGTCACTGACGAGTTGATTGTTTTTCTTAAAAAGTGCTAAGGCAAGTGTGCTGACAACTCAAACAACACATGCTTTTCTTTCTTTCTCCCATGCTTCCAATTCCTTACTTTTGGTCTCATCTACTGCCTCAAGCCTTACCTTAGGCCTCCTGACACATCTCCTTCCTGCAAACAAAGCCAGAACACTGGCTGTTCAAAAGAGGCTGCTTCATGAGCCTGCTCGTTCACCACCTAAGGTCTGATTCAGACACCGGCCTATGTTTGCGTGGTACCTTACACATACCTCTACCTCCTACACCATCACTGTCAATTTACCTGTTTCTCCCTCACAGAGGCCTTGTTTGGGTTTTAATTAAAATAAGTCTAAAAATTACTTGTTGAACATAGAGTCTAAGACTTCAGAAGCCAAATCAGTATACTGTTTAAACTTAAGATTATCTCTGGACAGTTAAATTGTATAAAAACCTTAAATATATTTCAGGACTTCTAATGATTATGAATAATACCCTCATTTTTAAAGTCCCCAGATTATGAGTACATTGATGAGTCATACTAGACAATGGTACTTTCTTCAATAATGTCAGAAACCACCCTAAAGAAAAGAATCAGGAAAATCTACATATTGGCAACTAATGACTTACTTTTTCGACATACTCAAACACCAAGTACAATTTCCCTCTCCGACGAAAGGCTTCCTTCAGCTCCACGATATTTTCCTGCTTGAGAGTCCGAAGCATTTTAAGCTCTCGTAAAGTCGTTTCTTTGACTTCTTCATTTTCTAGAATGTAAACAAACAATGGTGAAGAGAGTAGAATTAAAACTTTCAGATTATTGTTCAAAGAATTCCAAGAATACTGAAAACATCCCAATTTCACTTTCCACTTTGAGTACTTCTGCATAAGAAGTCCAGGAATGGAATGTTAAATAACATATTTTCTTGTTGAAAGGATCAAGAATAAGAAAAATAAAGAAGAAAAGGTTTACTTGACCAGCACGAACTTGAATTTCTTTTTGTATCTTTTTTTTTTGAGACAGAGTCTCACTCTCTTCCCCGGGCTAGAGTGCCGTGGAGTCAGCCTAGCTCACAGCAACCTCAGACTCCTGGGCTCAAGCAATCCTACTGCCTCAGCCTCCCCAGTAGCTGGGACTACAGGCATGCGCCACCATGCCTGGCTAATTTTTTCTACATATTTTTAGTTGTCCAGCTAATTTCTTTCTATTTTTTAGTAGAGATGGGGTCTCGCTCTTGCTCAGGCTGGTCTTGAACTCCTGAGCTCAAACGATCCACCCGCCTCAGCCTCCCAGAGTGCTAGGATTATAGGCGTGAGCCACCACGCCTGGCTGCTTATATTTTCTTATACTCCTTTTATTGCAAAGTATATGTATAATGACACAGATTTATAGATACAACATATGAATCCATTGTCATTTTAACCCTAACACTCTATACTGGGGAAGGAGGAGTTTAAAAGGGCAGTAAGGAATCAACCATATGAGTGTGCAAAGGAACCTCTATGTAGCCAGCATCTGCAGTAGTTGACATTTTTAAGATGGGCCTGAAACTTTGGCTTAAAAGAGCATTTTATTCCTCCGGCTACATGTGAGTCACCTCAGTGAGCAGAGGTCATGTTCCAGGCATCCACAATGCAGCTCATAGCCAAGTTGCAGCGAATTCTAAGAGTGCCTGATCATCTCTGTGAACAGCAGCTGTTGTAGGTTCCTGCTGTCCTCCTATGGCATGTCCATCTGTCCATCCCAGATGGTGTAGCAGTTCTGGTAAGAATTTATGCTGAACGAATATACCCTCTTCCATACCATCCATTTGACTCATGCTAATCTCCACAGTCATGGAGGAAGGACAGAAGTCATATTAACGCTAATGGATTAATTGGCCGGGGAGTGGGGAAGATAATCTCATTTTAAATGAGCTTTCATGATAGCTTTAGACTTAGCTGGGAAATTCTAACTACCATGTTTTTGTATGTATGTACCACGATACAGGTTCATAATCCCTCTACAATTCCAAAACCCCCCAAATAGTCTAAAAACTGGAAGCTTTTTCTAAGTTTGTGGCAAATTTACTTAGAGGCAAAACCTGAACTGACATGAGACCACTTACATTCTTTATCCCATCCAATGTGAACATTCATATGGTGTGCTTTAGAATTACTACTTGATTATTAGGTAGTATATAATATGCCATATTCCCATTCTAAAACCTAAAAGTTATGAATCCTAAAACACATTTGGCCCCAAGGTTTTGGGTAAGGGCCAGAATCGCAGCTTGAGAGTTGTGTGACCTGCAGGCTCAAGCATGTCTTCAAGTTTGAGGCGGAAGAAAATGGAATTTGAAGACAGGGGCAAGGAAAATGAATATGCCTTCTAGGAAGAAATGCTTTCTAATCAAGGTACACAAGACGAAAAAGGCTGAACGAGGGCCAAAGGGAGAGGGAAGATTCTAGATGCAATGCCAGGAATACTTCCTCAGATTATTTTCTATCCCAGCCCCCTCTCCCAACCTCCACTTAAACTGAGATTAAGAAAAGCGACTGTAAATAAAAAGCTGGGCTTCATAGCATGGGAATCCATTAACAGACCAGGAGCACAAAGAAGGTCAACACTCCTTTGTGAACTGGTTACATAAGAGAATTATTCTCCTACTTCAGCCAGAAAGCTGTTGGAGAATGCTGGGTCACAGATTAGGAAAAGACAGAGAGAGATGCTGCTTATCGGAAGACAAGAATCAGCACTAGGAAAAGCCGACAGCAGCATACATAGTGAACCAGCCCAGCTCACACCAGGGAGGTCAATTGGGAACTAGGTAGTCACAGGGCTCATGTCAGGGAAAAAGAGTATGACAGTGGATGCCACCTGGCAGTGGGGGAATGTGTGAGATGCAGTCAGAGGATTTCCCAAAGTGGCTTAGAGGACTGTGAGGGGACAAAGGTCCAGCTGTTCTGCAAGCTGGGGCCAAGCCAGAGAAGTGGTGCTCCATGACTATTAGAATGCTATGGTAGCCCCAGGTGCTGAAGCCGAGGGACCACTACCACTTTCTTAAAGAAGCTGCACTGGGAACCTGCTTCTCTGATATTCCCTCTGTGTTACTCTCAAGGTTGGGGTAATCCAACTAAAATCCATCTAGCTCTAAGAGACCGAATGACACATAGATCTCAATAAGAAACAAATGATCTACAAGGACTAATCCAAGAGGAGATGAATATACTGGTTACTCATGATCTGATCACTGTCTGCCTTTCCATCCCCATCTCATCCCCCTCTCCTCCTCTCTCCTCTTAGTCTCTCAGTTCCCAAAAATAGGCCCTAACTTTATTTTTCAATCTTAGGGCCTTTGCATTTATTCCTTCTGCCCAGAATGCTCAGTCTACTACCCAGACTTTTTATAGGCTGGCTCTGTTGGGTTTTAGTTTAAACGTCACTCCTCAAGAGCCTCTTCCAGACCACAAAGCAAGTAGGCCTCCTTCCCCATTACGCCTTATCACAGTACTCTGGACTTTTCTTCCACAAAACTTCTGACCATTTTTCTTAATCTATCTGTTTGCTTACTGGTTTACTATCTGTGCAGCCATCCCTGCTAAACTGAGAGCTCTAGGAGGACAGGACTAAGTTCTGCTCTTCAACAATATATATCCAAACACCTAGGACTGCACCTGGCACGAAGAGGTGCTCAATAAACTCTTCCTATGGGAATGCTTTACCTGGGCCATGAGGAAATCTTTGCTCATATATGTCTAGTTCTTCCTCGCTTCAGACATGGGGGGAAACAGCAAGGGGATGACAAACAATAGGCACTTTGCCCCCTCAGTTCTCAGTACAATGCTGTCAATCTTCTCTCTTGAGACCTTTGAAAGGGCTGCTTAGCAGGCAATAAGACACCGCATTTATCTTTATCTCCCCCTATTCATCTCTGTCCCTGGTTGTCTTCTACAGTATGTGATTATGAAAAATGGAGGATCTAGAAAACTGACAGTACTCAGAGTCAAGAACACAAACACATACACGTATATATAAATAAAATCATTAAAAGCTCCCATAAACTATGCTGGAGCTGGGTACTAATAAATGTTTCAACAAAGTTGCTAAGTAAATACAGCTGGTGTATCTTCCCTAATCAAACGCTTGGTGAATTCTTGGCACCCGAAAAGCAACTGAAAAAAGGGCACTTTGTATTATTACCAACTTGTGGCAGTTTCACTTTGCTAACAGATAAAGCCACCTTAGAATGGCCGAATCAGAATGGTTTTAGTAGAAGGAACATTGGAATAGGACTAAGGAGACCCAGGTTGGGGATTCAGCCTTTTAACCAACTAACAGTATGACATGTAACTTTGGACAAGCCACTTAACTTTTCATCAGTAAAATAAATAAATGTTCCCCACCTCCCAAAAATCCTATGGCCTTTTTCAAATCTAATAATCTATGATTTCTTTTCATTAAAATCTTATTGATTATAAGCCTAAACCTCATGGAATTTTGGTACTTTGTTATATTTACATTATTCAAATCTATACTGACTCAATTTAACAATGGTTATAGAGAGAAGATAAATGAATCTTCAAAAAGAAGCACACAAAATCACGTAGCATTTAGTAGCAAAACAACCTCATTTGAGCAGACTTTTTTTTTTTTTTAAATAAAATAAAGGCTTCTCTACTTTATGCCAGTCATAGGTATTCAAATTTGAGGTAAGCACTTGAGCACTAAGAATGTAATGAATGGGAACAGGCAGGAAGTGGAGTTAATTCCCTAAGTGCATGCAGATTGTGCACTCTCCATTACTTGGTACATCCTATAATTTTGTTTCTCTAAATGCTTTTAAGGTTCCTGGCCTGCCCTGCACTTTGTGATGAAAATTGTGGCACTAAATTATCAGACGATTGGGGAAAGAAATGCACATTCCACTTACACATGCTTCTCTCCTCAGAGGTTCAGAAAGTAGCAAAGCACTTCAGCAAGACAGTTTTTAAAAGGTGATAGGTAGCAGAGCCCACTAAAATGAGCACAAAAAGCATTACCTTCTAGTTGAAATAATCCTTGTGGATTCTTTATTTAGGTTAGCTCTTCCAGTCTACAAATGAAGAAACCAAGTCTAGAAAGGATCACTAACTTTCTCCGAGTGAGTGAACCAAGGCCACTGTTAATAGGCCACTGTTAACAGCCACTGTTAATATATTTTTCACATTACATGGCTGGATACTTTCCGGACAGCCCTCATATAAACCCCACTTAGTAAAGACTAAATAGAAAGAGGATGTCAAGTAAAGACAAGCAAACTGGAAACTGTCCTACTTCTAATCTTACCAGTAAGGCAAGTTAGCACACCTAAAAAATCAAGAGAGAATCAACTAAAGTAAAAGAACAATTTTTAAGAAGAAAGATCACAGGAGCAAAAGAAATTCAAAGATAAGTGATGAAAAGAGAAAAATCTAAAGATGAACAGAAACGCTATTGTAACTATTTTTAAAGAACTGTGGGCTTGGAAAAGAAATCCAGGAATAGCTATAACCTACTTTATGAAATCACAAACCTGACATTTTTGTATAGCCAAGAGGCCCCCCAAAATGGACCTTCAAACAGATATACTGAAAAATGAAAAGTCAACCAACCCTTGTTCAAGACCATGGGGGTACCATGTTTGAGACTGGTTGCCCTGATTGAAGAAGGAACACCAACAGGAGAGCAATTCATGTTGCAGAGGAGGTTCGAATGCTGATGCTGATCTTATAACAAAAAAGATGAGGACCCTCTAATCTTCAGAGATGAAGGACAGGTAGAAGCACAGTGGAAATTTATTAAATCATCCCATTTTGGACAAAAAGGAAGTGTGGTGAAATCATGACGAGTCAGAATGCTCAAGCTCAGTTAATCAAATTCTTTAATCGAGGGTTGGAAATATTGTTTCAAGGCCTCTCTTACAGAGAAATTGGGCTCTTAAATTTAAGAACTCAAGATTATGAACTGTTGTTTTGTACTATTATATAAAATAAGAGACCAGAGTACCCCTGATCCAGAGATCAGTATAGAGCTTTCCAGTGTATGGGCAAAAAAATAAGAATGAAATAAATTAGAAGATAGAATATATGATCAATTAAATATTTTCTAATAATTAACGATGTCTATTCCAAGAGAAAAATATTTAGAGAAAACATAAACAGAAGATGAAGTGCAAATAATTTTGATATTAAAGCAGAGACCCAAGCTAAATTACATCTCAAATATGGACTTCTGTACAGCTCCCTGGAGTTGGTCTCCTTACCATGTATGGAAGCCCAGTGACAAGTAGGGAGAATCCCTCTTCACCCCATCATCTGTACATTCAAGGAAAGAGTGAAAAGTCCAAAGAAGCAAAAGGAAGATCCAAGTATATGTCAAAAACATTCTAGACAACAGCTTCTCTTAAAGTAAAGATTAAACAGACAGTATTTTAAATTCTTGCTGGTCTAAAGCTATGCAGTCTAAACCGGGGTTCCAGGATTATTTAATAAATTGAGGACAGCGGACACTTGCACATGTGTATGTATGGGAATGATAATCCAATAATGATAGAAGATCACTGTCTGAACATCAAATCTCTTTGTATAAGATGAAAGTTATAGGAAGGGTAGGAGAATTAGGCTAAATTTATAATTACACATAGTCTGAAAAGTGCCTTTTAACTAAATAATCTTTAGTATCTTTATGGTCTGTGGTCATTTTTTTCCTTCTCAGAAAATCCAAATAATGGGCAGAACTAATTCAGTGGAGACTTCTAGTTGCTCAGGTACTGAATAAAGTTTCTCAGAGGGAATTTACATTAATAGACAAACTTATAATACTGTCATTTAGGGTATTATTAAGAATTCATTATCTAAGACTCCAAAATTATGAAGTATCAAGAAGCAAAAGTCATCTAAACAAGAAAAAATTAACTAATGAAGTGATCTCAGGCAAAAGTTTGTCACTCAAACATTCCTCCCTTTTAATAGGAGTCCTTATCCCAACTCAGGGTGTCAAAGTCTTTCAGGGAGAATCATAGGCAAAGATACTGATAAATGATCTGATCATATCAACTAACAACTGGAGAATAAAATCCTGAAAAAGATGAATCCAGAAGGACAGGAATATAAAAATATGTAGAGAAAGCTGATAAAGCCTTTTGTATATGTTTTAATGACCCTCTTTTTATCATGTGAGTTATTCATTAGCCTAGTCTACAATTTTGCTGTAAAAATTGCTCCTCCTCCCAAAAAGATAGCACTTGATTCTTTCTTCTAATAGCACATTAGACGCTATTAGAACTTATATTAACTATGAACATATTTTCATAATTGTAGTTTCATTTTACCAACTTAAAGTCCCAATATAACCTTTCATTTACGATGAAATTTTGGTTCCCATTTTAATAGAGATCTGTTATCCTGTGATAATAAGGACCTCTTGAACTGAACAGTGCCCACCATAAAATATATTAATAGCTTCAAAAACGTTTTATACAAATTTGTGGATACATATAAATTTAACAAGAAAGTAGAACATTAGCATAATCTTTTAAAGCTACCATAATATATACTTTCACAAAATATCATCAGTGAGAGAATATAGATGGTCCCCGACTTACAATGGTTCAACTTACAATTTTTCAACTTTACAATGGTGTGAAAACTATACATGTTCTATAGAAACCATACTTCAAGTACCCATATGACCATTCTGTTTTTTTAATTTCAGTACAATATTCAATACATTACATAAGATTTTCAAAACTTAACTATAAAACAGGTTTTGTATTAGACAATTTTGCCCAACTGTAGGCTAATGTAAGTGTTTGGAGCATGTTTAATGTACACCAGGCTAAGCTATGATGTTCAGCAGGTTAGGTACATTAAATACATTTTCAACTTAATACTATTTTCAACATATGATGGGCTTATCAGGATGTAGCCCCATCATAAATTGGGGAGTAACTAATATCAAGGATTAATGAGAACTACATGACAATAAAGGTAATATTATCATAACACTTTATTATAATTGGCTGAAAATGAAGATAATAAACCAACTGAGAATTAAATGGACCTCCTCACCTGTAAGAAACTATGTACACTTCACACTCCAAAAGAGTTGCTCACCACACATGTACCCTTTCTTTCCATTAAGTAAGACACTACTCTGGCAGGAAGAAAAGGGTAAAGGCAGAAAAGAAAGTACTAGATCACTCAGGGAGAACTGTAAACAGTAGGAAAGTAGGCCTATAATAGGATTGAAACTAAAAAGTTTATGAATAATTGGATATGCCTTCAGAGTCTATCAGAGAGATGTTTTGGAAGTGTCCCTCTAGACATACATGTAGGTGTACACTGACAAGGTAGGGTAGGTGATAAGGCTACATATCTGTGAGGGATGGTGAATGATGATGATTTGGCAGAGATGAGGGCAGAGCAGATTAATGTTTTGTCAGCTCAACGAAATCAGGGCAGATCAAATGTTTTTCACATCTAGGGCTCTTCATGCACTCCCAGATGCCACAGCTAGAAACAATCTCTCTTGCATCAAAATTATCCAAATTCCATGTCTCCATTCAGGCACTGATTGTTTCTACTGTTTTATCATTATTTATTTACAGGTCTTAATTCTACTAATAGGTCATAATCTTCTTGAAAGTATCCACACCTAAGTTATCTCCACAGTTCTTATATTACCTGGCTCAGAGTTCAATGAAATTTCAAAGAATACACTATTGCTTGCCACTTTGGAGGTATCATAAGTAAAAACATATCATATAATTGAAGCTAAGAATTGGTATGCACAAGATAGAGATTGTGAAGAATATGGTATTTAGTTTTTTTAAAAAAGAAAAAAAAAGCAACGGCATACATGGCCTAGATTGTACTCCTTTTAAAAATTTCTGATGACAATTATTATTTTTGGTGGTAACTGATGCTTGCCAATGTGTCCTGCAAGATGAATGCACAGCCAGCATGCAAAGGTTATGCTTTGATCATCTGTTGCAACCACTCTTTTTAGGAGATCACCATTTGTCTCTCAACCACCTGTCGTTAGCCCAAAGTCAACTGCTCAAAGAGCTCATTTCCCATGGTCTCACAGTGGGTTGGCCTGGGGCTACTGCTTCCTATTAGAGCACAAGTACACCATTTGAAGCATGTTTTCCCCCCTCCAGAACAAGCAAAAAGCATTTCTCTTTTGCCTTCCCTTTCAGGCTGCCCACACAATGGCTGCTGAAGTTCCCAGCTGATATGCATGTGTTCCACATAACCAGCACATCAGAGGATTACATCAAATATACTGAATCTATCCTGGGACTTTTTTTGTCAGCAAGCCCTTTTTGTTATTTAATGTTTGCTAAGTCTTTGAGGTGAGGGTGATGAACTATTCATAAATATAGAAGCTGGGTCTTACACTACTTAGTAAATGTGTGCTGATGAATGTAAGCTATGACTATTATTTTCATACTTCTGATTAGATCTCAAGGTTGATGCTATGCTGCCACCTCTTACCCCTATATCACTGTTTTTCAAATGGCAGGCTGTGACTCATTAGTGGTGAAATAAATTTATTTGATGCCACAACAGGCATTTCTACAAATTTATATGAAGAGGAGAGAACAGAAAGTGGAGAACCTCTCACATTCATATAATAGTTTGTGACATCTTTGCTATGCAGTACAATACATGTGTGGACACTGGGTTAAGATATAAAATATATTTGTACTGTGGGTCTCTGTCCAAAAAAATTTGAAAAAAATGCTGCCTAGAGCTCCTTAAAGGCCATCCATATTTTTGTGATCAGTTTCTCTATTTGGCTATTTTTGGATAGCCCACAGTCTAGATTTAAAGACTAACGAACTACTGAAATGCTTTATTTGAAACTTTTTTGACTGCATAGGGTACTTTTAATATTCTGTTTGAAATGTCCTGGATGTGTGACGAAGGCCTCCAAGTATGGTACTTCTTCTTAAAAAGCCCTCAGTGAGTCATTCTAAATATAAAATCACTCCCTCGATACTGTCTACCACTTATCCTTGTATTTCTAACTCTAAGAACCGGAGATCACAGTAACCAATACCGAAACCTTTCACATAGCACTCGCTACCAATGTGAACCCACAGAAGTATTTACCTCAAATAAGTTTTTTCATTTTAATATAGAAACAGTGTAGATAACATTGCTTTCTATCCAGCCTTTGGAGCAAGATTTCCAATGCTGATTGTACCTTAAAATACATGATGAATTTTCTAATATAGTGAGATTTGAAGAGTCACATAGAACGAACTAAATGTTTCAGAGCAAAGCATGATAAGCAATAAATTATATTCACTTTCTGAGACTGTGACTTTAGAATTTCTGGAACAGACAGGGTCTAACCATCTAGATCCCACCTCTTCCATACTCTATTTACAAAAACTTAATACAGAAGGAAAAAAAAGTATATATATATATATATACCTTCACTGTCCTTGAATTTCTTGATCGCCACAATTTCATGTGTTTCCTGCAAAGGAAAAGAGGCAGAAGGAAAATCATTCTCCAGTGTTTTTCTGACTGGGGATCCCAATTGCCTGGGGGTATATTCTGGGACAGCGTAGCAAGAACCCAAAGAATAAAAAAAAAAAAATAGATCCTCCTCCGCCCCACACCCCTCATTTCTTGGTTCCGAAATTCTCTTTCTTACCACCCTGCAGATATTGTCAAGAAAGGAAAAGGAGAAGGGGGAAAGGGTGGGGTGCAAAGAACAGAGATGGTAATAGAATATGTATGAATCATAAATCAGAAGTGTCAATGTCTTGAGGCTACTCAAAAGTGCCAGGATGAGTGGCATAGATTGTCATCTGTACTGCCCTCTGAAACCGAGAGACACATTTTAATTGGGCTTCATAGACCAAGAAAGGGCCTCTACAATACTTAATCATTGCTGGTAGCAGAATGCTCTTCCAAGTCACCTCCCTTCGATTACCTCTTCCTAACAAACATATCTAGTTTTCACCGGCTTTTCCCTACTGGTGGTCATTGCAAACCCAAAGTGAGATAAATATTTCATCACCACCTTCCCCCCACCCTTACTTATATCTTCTGAACAAAAGTAATTTGGGGGCAGAATCCTGCTTTAAATTAAAATATGAAAATCTTTTTTTTTTAATTATTTTTGGTTGGGGGGAAAAGAAAATAAAGGTTGGAAAGGAAATGGAAATGCTAAGAACTAAGTACCACTAAACTAAACAATTTATGTCTAATTATGGTCTATAAAAGGAATAAAAAAGCTTTTGGTAAAATAATTAATATAGATTCTTTAAAGCCAACATGTCAGATGAAAGCCTCCTGAATGACTCAAGCCTGCTCTTTTTTACTCTAAGTGGGTATACTTCCTGATCAAATCTGTTTTTTTGTGATCAAATCTTTTAATAAAACATTGTCCCTGCATCAAAACAAAGCCTTTAAAATTGGACACAATACCAGGCAATAACCAACAGGGTACAAATCATTAACTTATTAAAAATATAAGCTTTTCTTCTAAGTCCTTTTCAAAAACAAGGGGAAGGAAGAAAGGGAGGGAGTGGGAGGGAGAAAAGAAAAAGACCATTTTAATCGTTATGCTAAAAGACAAATTCTGAGTCCTATGTCTGTACATCAAAACTCTGTTTCTCATCTACCCATTGATAAAAGAAAATATCAGCTTTCATATCTGTATTATAAGAAAAAGAATTTATTTGAAAGTGCCATAAACTACTGAAGAAAAGGATACTTAAGGGTATTACATTTTTGTTTTTAATGGAGGAATAGATGGAATTGTAGGGTACAAACAGCTTTTAGGATACAACTCATTTGTGTATCAGTGGATCTTCTGACTTAAAGAAACTCAGTCTTCCAGGTACCTTCTGATGTTATAACTACTTTATTATTGAGAAAGAACAACTGCCAATTTCAAGTGATATGGGACATTATCAGCTAGAATATTAGCCCAGGTAGTATAAGGGTGATTCTTTTACATATGCTACCCTCTCACAATACACTGATATCATGGTCTTAACTTACTCCTTTTCAAATGGCTCTAGCAAGCAACCTATCTACAGCATAACTGAAAGAACAAACCCTATCAGGAACCTCCTCTTGCTTTGCTCCACAGCACAAAGAAAGGCGTCGTAGCATGATGGGGCTTCTAGGACTAGAGTAAAACCATTCACATTTCAAATGAGCATTGCTCCAGGCAATATTCCATCCTATATTCCACTCTAACTGAAAAAGCCCCACGTACATTTCTTTTATTGCATCCTAAGTGTCTGAACTTTGTTGGACTGATTTTATAAGAGATCAGTTCCAAACTGTCCACTGATATGATACAAATTTAAATTTATAACTAGCACACTCACACCATCTTAAAGAAATACATTAGTTTTTTTTTTCCTGGCATCTCATAAATTAAATTTACTGTATAAAACAGGTGGCTAAAGGGGTCAAATAAAATAAAAAATTTTTTTTTAATTTATCCTTTCAACAATACCATGGAAATCCCCTTTCCTCAACACTCAGTCCCCCCATATATGATTTATGTATTTACTTAAAGAATGAAGCCAAACAGATGAAGTTTTCTACATAAAACCAATTCGTGTTCAGTGGAAAACACATGCAATTAAGAGTAGAAGATGCTGGAAAGAATTTAACATTTCACTTGTATTCAAACTGCTTATAAAAATAATAGAAACTCATTACAGAAAATATAAAAAGAATAAAAAGGATATAAGAAGAGTACAAAGAAGACATCAAAAGATATTCATATAACCCTAACATTTTGGTATATTTTCTTCCAGCAAATTTTTCTCAAATTGTGATAGTAATAAGTCTTGTTGTACATTCCTTTTATTTCACTCGATATTATATAAGCAACATTTTGACCTGTCATTAATTTTTAAAACCACTATTTTTATTTTTATTTTTTTATTTCAGCATATTACAGGGGTACAAATGTTTAGGTTACATATGTTGCCTTTGCCCTCCCCCAACCCCCACCCCCCCGAGTCAGAGCTTCAAGCGTGTCCATCCCCCAGACAGTGCGCGCTGCACCCATTAGGTGTGAATACAGCCATCCCCTCCTCCCCCCTCCCACCTGCCTGACACCCAATGAATGTTACTACTATATGTGCACATAAGTGTTGATCAGTAATGCCAATTTGATGGTAAGTACATGTGGTGCTTGTTTTTCCATTCTTGTGATACTCCACTTGGTAGAACGGGCTCCAGCTCTATCCAGGATAATACAAGAGGTGCTAGATCACCATTGTTTTTTGTGGTGCAGTAGAACTCCATTTAAAGCCACTATTTTTAATGGATGGTTATTGAACCAGTCTATCAATGTACACACTTCGACATCTGCATCTTTATTTCCATAAATTCTGTTATGTGATATAAGTAGTTCAAAGGGTATGAATGTTAAAGGCTCCCGATATGTACTGCCAAACTGACATCCAAAAATATATCATTTCACAGTTCCCTTCAGTAGTGTATGAAAATACCCACTATACAACTGTTGCCAAAATGAAATATAGTTATAAAAAAATCTCTGAAATTCAATGAGATCAGAGAAGTTTTCTTCTATCAACTGGTAAGTGAAATCAGGTCTACTAGGGTTAATATTTTTCTTAGTGATTCATGGATGAGAACTTATTGCTAAATTTTGTTACAAATATTTTCCCCAGGTTGTTGTGATCATTGAACTATTTAGGGTTTTGTTGTTGTTGCTGAATATAAGTAATTATTACATAGCTGACTTTACTGATATAGGCCTTTGTAATTATGTCCACTACTTTTGTGCTCAAAGTACTTACTTAGCCTGAGCATGGTTAATATTCACCTGCAATTATGTGTCTTGATATTTTAATGATTTAATTTCTTTCCATAAATCTTTCTGCATCTGTAATTTATTCTAGTACATGACATGGCAAGGGAACCTAGATTTAATATAATTTTTAAATACTGAATCAATTTTCCTAATACCCTTTATAATGGATTTATAGTTCTTTGTTATATCTTAGCATCCTTACATACACAGTCTAGATTTGCTTTCAGAGCTTTCTAGTCAACTCTAGTCTAGCGTAGGCTCTACTGATTTGTTCTTATGTTAGAACAAGTTTAAATTATTGCGACCTTAAACTGTTTTAAATTAATCTGAGGTGAGGTGATTAGACCCTGATTCTTCATATATCATTTTGTTAAATACATTTATTTTTGAGAATAGGTTTTGGCTGTTAAATTTAATTTGTAATTATACACACATGAGCTATTATATTTCATATATGTTTCTTTACATATTCAATTGGCTTCACTGTTTACCACCTGTCCTTTTCTCCTATGTTTTTCACATATTTGAGTGATTTACTTGCTTTAATGTTTTGCTTAGCCAGAGTGAACCTCTGAATGTTTTTCTGAGGAAGTACCCTTATTTTCCAAGACTTGGCATGTTTGAACATCTTCATCCATGCATATCAACTTGACAGGCACAGAATCTTGGAGAAGGTAACTTTACATTCTTCAGGGTCCCTGTAAGTTTATGTGCACTGCAAAGCCCTAGACAGTGCCATTTACATCACAGACACTGTAGATCTGCATGCTTATGAAAGCAACTTTAAAGCAGATAGGAGTAAAGTATCTTGTTATATAATAATAAAATCCATATAATAAGATACTTTTCCAAGAAGAAAATTAAGAGTGTTAAAAGAAGAGACATTTTCTAACATAAGAAATTATAACCTACAACCAACTGATCTTCAACAAAGCAGACAGCAACATATACTGGGGAAAAGAAGCCCTATTCAATAAATGGTGCTGGGAAAATTGGATAGCCACATGCAGAAAAACAAAACAGGACCCCAGTGGAGAGAGATCACCACTTACAAAAATTAATTCAAGATGGATAAAAAACAATGGATAAAAGACTTAAATGTAAGGCATGAAACCATAAAAATTCTAGAAGAAAATGTAGGATAAACTCTATTCTAGACACTGGCCCAGGCAAAGAATTTATGTCTAAGACCCCCAAAGGCAATTATAGCAACAACAAAAATAAACAAATGGGACTTGATTAAATTAAATAACTTCTGCACAGCGAAGGAAATAATCAACAGAGCAAATAGACGACCTACAGAATGGGAGAAAATATTAGCAAACTATACATCTGATGGAGGGCTAATATCCAGAATCTATGAAGAACTCAAAACAAACCAGTAAGAAAAAAACAATCCCATTAAAAAGTGGGCAAAAGAGATGAACAGAAGCTTTCAAAAGAAGATAGACTAAGGGCCAACAAAGATATGAAAAAATGCTCAACGTCACTAATCATCAGGGAAATGCAAATTAAAACCACAACAAGATATCACCTTATCCCAGTTAGAATGGCTTTTATTAAAAAGTCCAAAAACAATAGATGCTGGCATGGAGCAGAGAAAAAGAAAAACTTACACACTGTTGGTGGGACTGCAAACTGGTACAGCCTCTATGGAAAACGGTATGGAAATTCCTCAAAGAACTAAAAGCAGACCTACCATTCAATCCAGCGATCCCACTACTGGGTATCTATCCAAAGGAAAGGAAGTCGTTTTATCAAAAAGACACCTGTACTGGAATGTTTATTGTAGCACAACTCACAATCACAAAGATGTGGAATCGACCTAAGTGCATGAGTGCATTAACAAAATGTGGTGTATATATACATACCATGGAGTACTATTCAGCCATAAAAAGAAATGAATTAATCTCTTTTGCAGCAATGTGGATGAAGCTGGAGACCGTTATTCTAAGTCAAGTATCTCAAGAATGGAAAAACAAACACCAAATGTACCCTCTAATAATTTGGAACTAATCGATGGGCACAGAGAGAAGTAAAAGTCATTGGAAATCAAGAAGGGGGAGGAGAAAGGAGGGAAGGGGTAAAAACCTACCTAACAGGTACAATGAACACTATTTGGGTGATGGGCACACTAACAGCCCTAACTTAAGCATTACAAAAGCTATCCATGTAACAAAAACATTTGTACCCCCTTAATATTTTGAAGTAAAAAAAAAAAAAAAAACCTTGCAAAACTGTTTTCCAGAGTGCTTGTGCCATTTTTCATTCTCACCAGCAATGTATAGGAATTCTAGTTTTTTCATTTTCAGGATACAATCCTGCATGTATATCATTAGATGTATGTGCAGGGTTGATACACCGTGTGTCAATTAAACTTATTTCACCTTTTTGGAGCTACTGTAAATGGCATTTTTAAATTTTAGTTTTCAGTTTTTCATTGCTAGTGTATAGAATAAATGCAATTGACTTTTGTGTATTGATCTTAAAAGGAAGGAAGGATAACATCATCACATGAGGCTCCAAATGAGGAGCAATGATCTGATCATGGTCTCTGGTATGCAGTGTTGTCATAAGTTGGAAGCCAATTTGGTTTTTGTTACAACGTAGATAACTTCTTTTATCTGCCTAGATACTGTTAGGACTTTTCTTTGAAATAAAAATTTAAAACTATCAGAATATATTTAGAGGAGTGTGTGTATATACTTTATGAATTAATATTACCTGGAAATAAATGAAATTAGGAAAGTTTTCTTCTAGCAAACTTAAATGTTGGTTCTAGTCCCATTTGTCTAGTATTTTCCACTACAAACCTTGCAACTTTTAGGTTGGCTTTTTCATAATTGCTTAATGTGTTTTGTTCACTACTGTATCATCGGCACCTAGAAGAGCAGGGACATAGTAGGTGTTCAATAAATATTGAATATATGAACATTTAATGGGTGCATTATTCAAAATTGCTACATCAATTCTGTTCTTTACTTTCTCCATTTTAGGTTTCTTTATCTTCTTTCCTTATCTCAGCCAACTTTTGCATTTTTTGCCTTGTTTCAGCTTGTTTTTTCTCTTGTAGAGGTCATATACTGCTGGCTGTCTTTCAGGAGCTAAGCGGATGTCTTAACTTCATCTGCTTGTTTCAAAAATCATTTTTGGAACTATGTGTTGCTTCTAAATCTTCAGAGCAACATTTTCTTTATCTTCTCATGTCTTTTCATAGCATCCTCCTCCTGCCCCTCCTTTTAAACTCATCCTTACTAAGATGGAAAGAGATCCACCAGGAGTGGCATTTGGCAGCAAAAAGGGTAGTTGCATT